CAGGAGGGCTGAATAGGGGGGGACAGCACATAAGCTTCAGGAAGGAAAGAGGGCATGGCAGAAGGGAAGAAACACTGTGCCAGGCATGACATGTTGACATAATTGATAAAGAGAAAACTGCTCCTGCACGGTGTACAGTAATTTTAGTCACTTTTTTCTGTTCATTGTCATGAACAGAACCCAAGGTGCAAACACTAAATAAAGTGTTGCAATTTTCCAGTGGTGGTTGCTACGAGGCATAAACATCAGGGCACTAAAACAGATAAACGTCTCACATTTGTTTCAGTTTGGCAGCTGCAAAACCACTATTACTCCAGGTATTTATCAGTTTTATATACTTCTGCTTATCCCAGACATGAACACTTTTTTTTTTTTGTTAACAATACTGGAGTTCTGTAACTTATAAATGACTTTATTTTGCTCAGAGACCAATAATTCTGGTGAAGTTCATGACAGTAGTCCCTGGATAGGTTCCCTCTCTAATGGAAAAAGATACAGCTTTTGTTTTCTTCTTTCTGGTATTTCCTGTGCATCTGAAGCCTTTCTACTTTCATTACAGCTGAAGAAAGAAAATAAATTTCCTTCAATATTTTTAAGTCAAGAACTTTACAGGAATATCATGCGCTGAAAATGAGAGACAAAGTATTTTATTTCTTCTTTGTCTCATTTTCATTGATTTGTTCAATATTTAAAATTATACAAATAATCTTGGTAGTGACTTGAAAGATAATTCAAGGCTGGTTAAAAAGGTCGAGTTATTAGAGCCATATCGCATTCTGACACTAAGAGATCAATGGGTCTCTCAAAGCAACCACCCAGAAATGTCATGTTCTCAAAACTTTAGGAAACTCTTGAAAATCCAGTGAGTAGCTTACATCACTGCAGGAAGTAACAAACATGAGCTGCACAAAGAAAAGGTACAGTGGTAATGAATGAAACCTTCAAGACATCCCTGTCTGTAGAGGAATGAAAGATAGTGGGAGTCAAACTGGGCACAAAACTATTCTGTAAGAGTAGTTCAGAAACAAACAGTGGTTTTCAAGGATGAAGAAATTCAGAGCCACAAAGTTGACATAGAAATTAAACTCAGGGCAGCGTTTGTGTGACAACTCCGAATGGTCTTGCTGCATTTCCTCATCGAAAAGGAAATATCTGATTACTAAGGGCTTTCTATGTCTCCAAGCTTACAGAATGTTTTTGTGGAATCAAAGCAGGACTATAAATTCAACCTCACTAAATTTAGTGGAAAAATATAGCTGATCATACAAGGCAATTTCAGAATCACTCTTGAGGGGTAATTTGTCCCAATTAGCTCATAAACGACACAAAAGAGTAAAAACAATGAGATGGAAACATATTAAGCATAACTCAGTGAAAATGGATTGAGCCTTTTTTTCCAGATGCCAGTAGTGTATCAGCACTAAAATCAGTGTTAGACTCCGTTCTTTTCAGTTGAATGTCATCTAAGAAATGTTCAGATGTGGAGAAGCATTTTTTTTAATTCCCACCTCCTTTTCCAGAGCATGAAAGTTATGGCTATGCATCTTTTATCTAGCTGATTGAGACAAAACCTGGTGGTCTTCTCCAGGACACTGAAGGAAGTACAGCCTTTATTAGAAGCTGTGTTTTCTTGACAACTAAAAGCTGGTCTGATCTTTTTGACTTTGAAGACCAGAAGTACAACAACCTTCATAACAGTGTGTTCAATGGGACACCTAAAATAAAATTACACAAAAGGTATTAATTCTTATTTAAAAATCTGACATGAAAACAATTCTTGTTCTCACAGTGCAACATCTTCCCAAAATGTTTTCCCATTGGTAGCTTCGGTCTGAGCTGCAGTCAAAAAATGCCAACACATTATTTCACTTCATAACAACAGTGGACAACTTCAAGGACTACGTGACTCCTTTAATATGCTTTCCACAGAAGAATTTGTTTTGGAAACTTGCTAATAAGAATTATTGCCTTTAAGATCTGTAGAGATTGATCAAGTTATCACTAATATACTCTTTTTATTTTTTTTTAGTACAATGAGGGGCCTTCATGGGAACAAAGATCGACTGCTTATGTCATTTTTTGAAACTCTTCACGTCTGGTCATATCAGTCACTGTCCCTTTATCTTCTTTAATAAGCCTCTCTGTGCAGTCAGCTCTATGGCATTCAAGAGACTACTGCAAAACCACAACAAAAATAAAAATTAAGGCCAGTACTCTTACATGTCTTCTTTCACTGTATTTTTGCCTACTATTGCACAAAGATCTCAGCAGTGATGCATTACTACAATATTTAGTCTCCATAAATGAGTAACAGCATCTGAGTATTTTTGCAGTTTTGCTATCCATGCTATCAGAAATGCAAATAACTTGCTCTTTGATTGAACAGTTGTGGGACAAAGGCTCTCTTCATTAAGTTCCCCTCTGCAAACACAGAATCACAGAATGGGCAAGTTTGGAAGGGACCACAGTGGGTCATGTGGTCCAAATTCCCTGCTCAAGCAGGGCCATCCTACAGCACATTGCACAGGACTGTGTGCAATTCTTGAATATCTCCAGTAAAGGAGACTCCACATCCTCTCTGGGTAATCTGCTCCAGTGCATGGTCCCCCGCACAGTAAAGAAGTTCTTCCTAATATTCAGGTGGAATTTCCTGTGCATTAGTTTTTGCCTGTTGCCTCTTGTCCTATTGCTGGGCACCAGCAAAAAGCGCCTGGCTCCATCCTCTTTACATCCTCCCTTCAGATACTTATAGACATTGATGAGGTCCCCTCTCAGTTGTCTCTTCTCAAGGCTGAACAGGCCCAACTCTCTCAGCCTACCAAATACACCATACTAATTTCAAAGAAGCAGCAGCCCTTTCCCATCTGCTTGTTTCTACCCACAGTTTTTGCCAAAATGAGAAGAATTGTGTAGATAATTAAAATTTAGCTTTCAAACAATTCCCTTCTTTAAAATTTCCAGACTACGTAAATGGTTCGGTTGTGTATGAGATATGCAGGAATTGAAATTTGTATGTGCATTGAATCTGTATTACTCCAGGATTCCTTTGGCTCAGCTTTGCAACAACTTTCCCAGAAGTGCCATCAGTAGCCCCACCACCCCCTGAGAGTCATTCCCCTGAGAATTCCTGGAAGTAAGTTGTTCTTCCTTGTTGGCCTCAAGTGGTAAACATTCATTTATAAGCTGTCCAAACATCTCCAGTATTTTCTCCATAATTTGGATGAGCCAGTGAAAGTCCTTTTTACTTCAAAATGCACTGTCAGAAGTCTGACTCTGTCAAACTTGGTGGCAGAGGTAAAAGAAGTGTTAACAGGTTTGGAGATTGTGAGGATTTCTAAATTAAATATAAATGCTTGCCAGCACTTGTTTCAAGTTCAGAAATGGTCATGACTTGTACTTTGTAATTCTGTGCCTGTAGGAAGCACACAAGCTAGAACTTGTGTCCATCCTGCAGATATATGAGCAAAATTTTGTCATTAAAAATGTATTAACTACCAATAAGCTAAGGTTTTGTTAAATGTGTAAATATTTCAGGCCACCAGATAATAAAATAGTGGCATCTCTATTAAGATTGATATCAATACAGAACACAAAAAATACAAGGCATCCTTGGCAGGCATTTGGTGTATTTTGTGAAGAAATACAAAATAATTTAAAATATATGCTTTAAATTAGGTAAAAATTTCTGTTTGGAAGATACAAAGAAATCTTTTAGATGAAGATATAGGCATTTAGTTAATCTTATCCTAGAGACACACTTAATGCCAGAAAAAAGCAGATGGGAGATAATGTAAGATGTCATTATTTTCAAATATAAGAGAAACTTTTTAATCACTTCTCCAGATTTCTACCAGTATCTTTTTTTTTTTCTTTCTGCAAGACTCATGCCTTTATTTATTGCACATGAAGCTGCAGGACATGTTTTTGATACTTAACTCCCCACAATTAGAAGGAAACACAAAGAATTAATGGCTTTGATTCTCCTTTAAACGTTCCTCAGTTCGAACCGGAATTATTCTCTTACGGTCTAAAAGGCATATGGCTATAATCAGGATCACTCTTTGAAATACCATTTGTTTGTATTTCCTTTCACTTATAATCAGTCAGGCAGTCTACAGAGGTATATAATTTCCATTAGTGGACACTAAAATTTGCCATACAGCTTCCAATGCAGACTAACATTCAGTGGTCAGGAAGCCAGCCTGCATGTTTAGCTTCACTTCTGTGACAGATGTCTTGCACAATCTTAAGAAACAGAATTCCAGCTTTCCCAATTAAGTCAAAAGGGTTTGCTCCAGGTCCTATGGCAAAAGCCATTTCTGTTTCTAAGACAAACCCTTATTAAGATATCATGGATAGGAAGGATCACCAACAGTCCATTCTCCTCCTCAGTTACCAAGTAATTCTTCTGGCCCACTGTTGTTCTTTTCCAAATTGTTCTTGTCACCCTCTCTAGGTAAAGCCGTGATCAAAGTTGTGCCAACACAGATAAGTTCCCATGCAGGGAAGAGCCAGCACATGTACAGTCCAAGCAGAACAGAGCTCGGCAAACACCAGACACCCACTTCCTATTTGCTAATACTGGACTCAGTGCTGCCACAATGCTCACAGCTCATGAGGAATCTAAAGGTTGTGTAGCTTTAGGTACTCTCTGCAGTTCAAATAGCTCCTCAGGTGGAAAGTGTCTCTCTGCAGCAGCCATCCACTAGAAATCCCAAAAAAGGCAGACTCTGAGCGTCAGTTGCTACCTCATTTTCTTCACCAAATGCCTTGCAGATTGAATTTGTTTAAAGTCTTATTCATACCTCAGACAGAGGAAGCCTCTTCTGCTTTCATCCACCCACCTCTAGATATAGCCCACAGCCCAAATACCTATTTTAAGACTATTCCCATTCTAAGTGATTTTTGGTACCCAGCATTTCCAAAAGATTGAGTAACTAACTCTAATATAATACATACATATCAGTGCCACAATGCCTTTCAAAAAATGAATAGACACATAAATTTTCAGTAGTTTTATTGAAAAATGCCTCTTTCATTTCAGAAATAAATAATATAAGGCAGTGAAATTCACAATGTGCAGTTAAAATATAAAAGCAGCAATTCTATATCCATAGTCTTGCAAATGATTTCCAACTGCTTTTGATAACTAAGAAACACTGTATTCTGAAAAAAATCCATACTAAATATACAACATAAACATGCAATTCCATCTCTGCAGGATTGACTGCAATTTGGCATAAATGTAACTGTGTCTACAAACAAGGAGATTTCAGGCATTATTAAACTGTATCCAGTTGATACAATGATTTCAGCTACTTAATGTTTGTGGTGTTTAGAGGAGATGTATAAGAGCAGTATATGCTCTGCAGATTGTAATTCAGAATAGAAGAAAATGACAATGATATCGGAAGGAGAGGGAAATTATTGTTTCTTTTTTAACTAGATAATGCAAACCTGTGATCTGACTGAACTGAAAACATGCATTTGAAAAAAAAAGAAAAATGCAGAGCTAAAGCAGACAGTCCTTAGAAAATTTGCAGCAGCTCTGTGGTTATTTTTGGTTTGGTTTTTTGGTTTTCATTTTTTTTTATTTATTTGTTTTTACATTATTTTAATGAAAAGGCAGAACTGATATAACTGAATGCACACATTAATCTGTATGCAGCCACTACAAGCAACAGTATTTTACAAGCATTTCCAGAGCAACATGAAGTCTCTAGGTACACACATTGCTATCACCACATAAGCAAGATACAAAACAGGGTTGCATCTGATATGAAAAGACCAGAAAGATATATTGCAAAAGGAATGATGCACTCTCCCTGCATGTATCTGCAAATGCAAGTACAGCAAAAAAAATCCAAAAAACCACCAACCAAAAAAACCAAAACAAGACACAGATCTTTTATGGTTTTGTTTTTGCTTTTCCTGACAGTGATCTTTTCCAGCGCATGTGCTCAGGGTATTCTGGTGAATGCATTTCAACTCCATAGTCCTCATACTCGTCCTCTCTCCTTTCTGACTCCATAGGTACTATAAAGGGTTCACCTTCAGGTTGATAGGGTCCACTTTCAGGCACGTATGGTTCTGGTTGAAAATAGTTGTCCGATTGAACATAATAGTTATCGCATGTCTTTGAATCCACATATGCAATGAAAGTTAGTTTTTATACATAATGTTAGTTCAATCTTATTTTCATATAATAAATACATAAATTAGTAGTTCACTGGGGGTATTTTTCAGTTTTGCTGATGAATGCTTTTTGGTAGTAAAATAATAAAAGGTTTAAAATTCAACTTGAAAGGCTTCATATTTATAATACATAAAACATTGCAGAAAGAGTCTTAAATTACGCAAGGGACAAATTATGGTAAAATTATTAAAAACAAAACAAAACCAGAGCAAATAAAATAAAATTATTATTTTACAGCTACTTTAGTAAATCCAAGCACTGGACTTCATTTTAAACTGCGTAATTAGTAGAAGACATGGAGCAGGTAAAATGAAGAGATGGGTTTGGCATATACTAATTTTCTCTGAGAATGGGAAAGTAATTGTAGACATAACTATCACCAGCGGCAATATACAGTACATGTCATTTTCTCGTGCTGTTCCTCGTAACATACCGAGTTACAGCTGGTGCTTCAGGAACACCAAAAACTACAGCAAAACAGAAGAAAAATAATTATAAAACTTTGATATTTATAACTGCAGTTACAGATCCAACAAGATTACACATGAGAAAAGGCACATGCCCCGATTCAGACATGTTGGTAACAAGCAACAGACAGGTAGGTTTCATAAGTTGTCAAAGATGTTATTCCGGCCTATAGCAAGCAGCAGCAGGCTTTTATGCAAAAGTATCATGTAGGGTTGTTAACAGATTTTAGTGGATACAGTCCCATACAAATCATTTACAAGCCACAATTAGTTTACTATTTACATAAGTTATTTCTCATTTTCCAGGTTAAATCCGTCTCTCTACTAATGGCATTACCTTTACTGGTTAGTAGTTTTACAAGCCTCCTTCGCCACTGAGGCTTTTGATGGTCTAGGTCTTTTTTAAAAAAGAAAGACTGTCTGTTTTATTGTTGAAATGCAATAGGCTTAATGAATTGACATCACTGTCCTTTATCTCATTCACAAGTTGTGTTAGTAAAAGTATCTCCCCGTTCTATGAGGTCAACATGGTTCAAAAACCATATCCATGGTGAAATATCCATACAGACTCATTTCCTAATAAGCACGTGCGCAAACATCTCAGAAACAGGACTTTCATGTATTCAAACTGTAAGCAGCACTGGCGACTTAGAAAATGTGTTAGCCGAAACCTGAAACAGGTCAAAGATGATGTTAGTCTTTTAAAAAGTCCATCTGATGTGCAAAAAAATACTTTCATCCAATTAAATACATAACAGTTAAGTCATAAGCATATATTTATATATGTATACATAGCTGCTTACTAGAAAGGAAAACACTGCTGAATCACAGGCAGAATTTTCTTTATTTTTCATTTAAATAAGAATTTTGTGTGATATCTGCAGAACCACTTGGCTCTTTAACCAGCAACACTGAGTCTGCAAGTGTGTACATATATATATATATATATCTTTTCTTTTTTTTTTTACTTTTCATGGGTACATGCACAATATGCTAACAGCAAACCATATCAAATAGTAGTATCACATACATTAATTTTGAGGTCTGGCAAGGCATACATATTAATTTGTTAACAATACCGTGGTCCTGCAGGATCCCTATGTTAAACTATATTAGAATCTTTCCAGTCAGAAATTGTTGGCCGCTGTGACCCTTCATTTTGATTCCAGAAGCAGCCTACTGTTTTGAGCTACATCACAGAGTGGAAGGCTTATATGACCCAGGGCTAATCAGAGACTCCATGCTGTTTAATTTGGTAGATATTGTAGGACAGTGGTGCTTTTCAGTTGTCTGCATTGTTATCACCAAATGGATTTCCTTTGCGGAAAATTTTTATTTCAGGAATCAATTTTGTATAAATAATCCTGACATTGCTCAAAAAGAGACACATGGAAATTGCCAAACACCGCATTCCTTTTATTTTTCAAGAGAAACATGGAGAATTCAACCTTGTTCTGAAGACGATTGGGAGGGGTGGTGATAGAGGGAGGGAAAAAAGAAGAGAAGAAAATCACTTAAAATCAGTAAAATTCTATGAGCAACATTATTAACTATTTTTTTTTTTAAAGACTAAAATATTTGCTCACCACTTCCTTTTTAAAGGAAACCATACATAAGTAACATCAAGTAAACCTGTATCAAAGTCTAAATGGCTGTTCATATACCTGACATTACAACAAGGCAGGCCTGCTCGCTGCAACCATCTCCTCCTGATTCAGTATGTTCAGGCTAGCAGGACTGTCTCATGTAAAGCAGCTCAATATGAACAGCCATGTCTTTGAAGGCTATCTAAGGCAAGGTTAAGGATAAGTTGTTCATAACTTACCTGGGAATCCTTGGCCATTGTAAGGAATGCTAGCACACTGGGATGAATCACAATATCCTGGTGGCCCTGGGGGACCTCGAATACCCGCATTTCCAGGACGACCTGGTGGCCCTGGTGGTCCTCGTGATCCTGTGGAGCCTGGTGGACCAGTTCTAGATTCTCCTTGTGGACCTAATTTTAGAATGGAGAGGTTGGGAGGTTGTTTTCTCTAAGAGCCAGCTGGATAAAACAGCTAACATTACTGGTGTCTAGACTACACAGCCTAGGCTATGTCTTTAGTGAGAAACACTTGCACTTTGTTGCTGTATGGTGGTCAACAGAAAGAAAAACAAAGGAACACTAGAAATGTGACTCATCATTAGTTGCTTCCTTGTGTGTGGCTTATTTAAGGATTTATTCATAGAATCTGATTTAGCAAGGTTTGACCCAAGTAAGAAACTTCAATGAATTCTCTGGTTTATTTCCTCTTTGTGTAAGATATGATGATCTCAAGGGAAACTACTAGATTAGACAAGCACACTGGATTTCAATTAAAATACAGGAGTATATTAATTCTGCTACCCCGTAGCCCCAGGATAGATGAGGTAATGTTTTTTTTGGAACCAGTCTTATTATGGTTAGCAGAAAAGTAAAGCGTCAAGTGACTGTGGCTACAATTTGCTGCAAGCATCTTATGGGTCCTGTAATGAAAAATCATTTTAGCCTAGTAAACTACAAGCAGGAACAAATGATGCAGCTGATTTAAGGCAAGGCATAAATGAACAAAATTTCATGATAAAAGACCAAAACGAATAGTCCAATCATCTGCCTCTATCATCTAGTAACTCTGCATGTAGGAGTATTTTGTAGTTCAGCAACCAACAACTAAAAAATGGAATTAGACACTGCAAAAGTATTATTTGATAACACTTATGAAAAATATCTGTAAAATATTTGGAAATGTGTTTTCATGAAAAATATTTTCACACAAGCAAGCATGCCAAATGAGGAAATCGCAAGACAAAGACAAATATCTCTTAGTCACATCCAAAAATCTTCCTAAATTCCCAATTTTTTAGGGGTTTCTAGTAAACTCTAAAACTTGTCAAACACATGAAGTGGACAGAGTATAGCATGTTCATTTACCATATGTAGTCTGGCTCCCTATGATGAAATGTTGCCCTTTTCTCCTAATTTTCTGTAATCTGATTAAACAAAAAATATTTACCAGGTGGTCCCGGCAAACCTCTTGGTCCTTGAGATCCAGTCCCTCTTTCACCTTTCTCCCCAGGCATTCCTACAGAATAATAAAAAGGCAGTAAAAACTAAAGAAAGGAAACCACATCAATAAATATTTCTTCATGCTCTCTTGTTGACATTAATATTTAGTTCCTATTATTTAATGTAACAAGACCGGTTAAAGTCTATGTTCTACGGATGTCAACATGTGTATCTGGGGAAAAAAAATTGGATATAAGTACATTAACCTAAAAATAAAGTAAGATGAAGAGGTAATTTAGTATGAATAAACTTTTTTAAACATAGAAAAGAATTTGAGATACTAAAAACACCACAGAACCTTATTATTTTAATCTACAAACAGGAAGGTACTTCAAGCTTGCATACTTCTGCCATAAAATATGCTTACACTTTCTTAGGAACAGTTATAATGAAATAAGTTTAAGAAATTCGGAAATTCATTCTTCCTTGATTTATTCCTAGTCTTTATTTTAAAATATACTAAAATATATGCTAGAAAACACAGCTCTGAATCTATGCTACAGTAGAGTAGCTGGAATAAGCAAAGGCCACAACATAGTACAGTACAGATACTCCATATGATTGCAGTGATCCAGGATAGCCATAAAATAGGTTTATCCACATGCTCAAATTCAGTTCAGAGTTGCTTCCCTCCCTCAGGGTACTGCAAAAAACCAAGGATGTAGACCTATTTTTTTCAACTCTGACATTTTATTCTTGGTAATGACTCAGTCTCTCTCTTAATCAATGTTATATTTTGCAGAGCTGTGTTACTCCAAACAGCCTTTCAAGATACAGCTGTTTAGTGCCAGAAGAGTTCTGAGAACTTTCATTTTCCTGGGATATTACATGGAAGCATCAGACAGCAGCCAAAATGTTAGACTAATTTGTGTTTCATGAAATCTAAGCAAGAGAGACAGAGGAAAAGCACTGATGTAATTAACCTTGCCCTCTAGAACACCAGTATCCCTCAGGCAATCCAACTGGCCTAACAGGCTGCTGCTAGGTATGGGCTTCCTCGTCTGTCATGGTAAAGGAAGCAGACAGTTCTCCTGGCAGTCTCTGTGCTATGTCCACTGTACAGCTGCCTTGGAATTTACTCACCTCTTTCGCCGGGTGGACCTTGGACCCCAGGAGGTCCTGGGAATCCTGGTCTTCCTCCAGGTCCAGGCTCTCCTCTTGTCCCAGCAGCTCCTGGGGGACCAGGTGGACCTGGTGGCCCTGGCTGGTTACGGTTTGAATAATAATCATTCGGAATTTGATTCAGCATTTGATTGAACCGGCTCATTTGACCTTCAAAAGAAAACAACATACAAAATGAGTGAAAATCTTTTATCAGAGTGGGAAGTAATAAAAAATCATCTCTCTTCATTAAGTCCTATTCTTGCTCCCATTCAATAAATTAGTGATGAATTAGTTCAGATGAATTAGAAAGACTTAAGATGAATGTCTGATGAGAAGGCTGAACATAAACGGAGGAGGGATGGAGGGAGGAAAGGTAAAGAGGATTCTGGAAGCAAATAACATTAACAGAAATTTAACATAAAACTATTAAAATCACAAAATAAGCATTTCTTACAATACTCTTGTTCTCAGAGCTCTATTTAGAGTTGCTTTTACTCTGAAGAACAGAAAGGACTTGTTCCACTTTTAAAACCGGAGTATCACATTTCTTCGTACTTTCAGAGCTCTGAAGCTACCACAAACCATATAAATTATGCCTGTGTAGAGCTAGAAGCACACAGTCTGCAAAGTTGCTTTCTTAAGCCTGTAGGATGCAAAGGTTTGTACCTATATACCTTCTGCACATAGGCAAAAAAAAAGGTGTGTGAATAAAAGCAACAGCATTGTGAAACTATGCAGGAAGGAACCCTTTAACGGGGGGACACATCTAGTCCTACCTGATTAGTGTAATGTGCCAATCCTAGCATAACCCCGAAGAGATGAGCTGAACATGAAAAAAACAAGGCAGGGATGCTCAAAGAAGGGATGTTAAAAGATCTCAGATAAGATACCCGTATTCATAGGTCTAACACATTCATGAATGTAATTTCCTTCTTCTGTGATGGCTAACTAACAGACATGTTTTAAACAGCAGCCATCACAGACATTTTAAAGGACATACTGTCCTCCTCCCTGTACACAAAGGTAGTGATCCCAAAGGTACATCTATTTACTTCAGTCAGCACTTACCCTTATAATAGATACAATATTAAGAACACGGGCACATTTGCCTCTGTCCTCCTCAGCAAGTCTACCGATAGCAAAAGCACTGCTTCAGAGACAGAGAGAAAGCCTTTGTAGAGAACAATTTCTTGGGCTGCAGAGCTGCACTGTGTGGCAGTAGAGGACTGAAATTCAATTTGAAGTCCTTCTCCAAATAAATATTACTTTTACACTGCTGATTCTGTGCACAGTAGTTACCCAACACTCATCTGTCTTTCCCTGCTGGCAAAACACCCGCAACCAAAAAACCTGCAACAAACATTGTTTTTCTCACCGATTTCCTCCTCTTGAAGATGACATGCTTAAAGAGAAAATGTATACTGAATTTACTGCAAAGATGAAGTAATTTTGGACCAGAATTACAAAAGTAAAGTCACACTCCTTGTACAGAGTGTTAGACCTGCGTGTGTATTTCCAAAGGTCACAGACTAGTTCATGATCAAGCTAGCCTCTGGATCTGGCAAAAATTTGCTGCTATGTTTTTTTCCGCCAAATAATTGGTGTGTGACAGCTACAAGATCAGTCAAGCTCTTGCTGTGCTCTCTAGCCAGTATCTGTCACCTCAAATTTAAACCATTGTTTTCTCTTTTCAAAACACAAAGTGGTAAATTACTAGTATGAGAAACAAAGCAAGCAACACAGTTTACCATTTATCAGTTGTTCACAGACTTGTCTTGCAACTGCTCGCATCATGTTCTGAGAAGCAATGTCACCCTAAATAATCAAATGCAAAACAAGTGTTTTATTAGCAAGTGCCTGTGCTTTTAAAGACATAGTGTTTAATTTTAAAATTATAAGAAAAACTGACTTTCATTCAGACTTACTCTGTCGCCTTTTTCTCCCTTCATTCCAGGTGCACCCTAAAATAAATAAGGAAAAATAAAGCAACTGAAGAATTATGTTATTCCACCCCAACTACTGGTTTGAGACATGCAATTCTAGAAAAAAAATTGACTCTTTCAAGAAGACAGACCTAATCCTTCTTGAACTTTATATTTCAGAGATGCTAAAACAGGTGCCAGAAAAGACTGGAGAAACAATGATCTTTTGTCTGGGATCAAACACACTGACAGATGCATAAAAAAAAGACCAGAGGGAAAAAATTCAAACTAGGGCCAAAAAACTGATGTATTCTGACAATGGGACCTCACTGTCAATTTGAAAGTGGAATTTCTGGCATCACATTTCTGTAAATGGTCAATGGTCTTGTGTGAGTTATACAAGACTGTTTAATTTTAAGTCTTAAGACAACTCATCATTAAAGAAGGTAATCTAGGAAAAATAACACAAGTCTAGGAAGGGTAGCTGTCTCCTTGAACACGTATGAAAAGGATTCTCTGTTAAGACAAAAATATTTATGCAGAGATGACACATAAGATGGAGAGAGATGCCAGTAAGCACTTATTCTATTTAAAATGACAGTTTCTCTCCTAATTCTCAACCATTTCTACGTCTTACAAAAGTCTCATAGAAGTCTTAGCTTGAGCTGCTTTATAATTATTCACGTTTGCCAACTTTTTTCTAACAGCACTTTCCATTAGCCTTTGAATAGTTTAGTGGTTGTGGGTTTTTTGGTTTTCAAGAATACTATGTAAGAAGTAAACCAGAAGGCCTGATTCTAATTTTTATATATGTATGTGTATATGAAAAACATCAGGAATAATGATGGGTCTAGCATGAGTTCACATAGATTTTCACTTGTAGCCTAAATTACTATTTGAACATAAGGCATATTTCAAAGGTGAGAGATCAATTTGGTTATCTGATGCTCTACATGGCTCTCCACATACTTACACACACATCCTAAGTACTACTGCTTTGTACATTATAGTATTTCTTTAAGGAGCCTGTTTATCACCATTAACAAAGCAAAGGCTAAGTGTGGGCTGCAGCTGTTTCTCATAACATTCCTACAGTACCCGCAATTAATTTCAGCAACATGAGACACCAAATCATTCCACTGAGGTCACAGCAGACACCACTCGAACGCAGTGGTACTGTTTCATAGACTTCCATCAAGGTTTTGGGCAAACAAATGCCTATGGGGTATGTTGGAGTGTGAACGTAGTATGTTCTCTCAGCTTCTCTGCAGTAGAGTTGCACACACCTACCCCATGAGATGCCACAGAAAATATGAGACAGTTCATCCATCATTGAGTTAAGTAGTTGTCATATGGTACATTTGCATCATGAATGACAGATCGTTCAGGCAAAATTGATTGTACAGACTCAAATGACTGATTTAAAATGGTGACATCATAAATGTGCCACTGGAATAAATTATGCCACCAATGAGACAGTTACTAATAAGTACAAAATATACCCATCAAGCTGATTAATATTCTTTCCCTTCTGTCCTTTACTCTTTCATCTGTATCTTTCTTACTCTGTGAAGTCCACAGGGAAGCATCTGTCTTTCAGTTTTAGCTTATTACAGCCACATGCTGAAACAGCCTATGGACTTGTAAATGCCATAACAACATAAGTAAATGGTAACAACTAAAATCATCAGGAAAACATGACCTTTCCGTCTGTCATTCTCTAATAATTAACATTGTGGTAAATGATAATGTACTGTAGAGATGTAATTTGACTCCCAAATCGACAGACATCGACATCTTGTTCATAAACTATTACATATAGCTGAAATATCCATTGAACAGAATTGCAGGTTTTTACTTGCACTAGTCTATAACATGAAAATCTAGGGGGGGGGACTGTTAACAAACTATTTCATGCTTCTCTTTCTGTTTGAAACTTGCCAACTTTTTCTATTTTATGAAAGCATATTCCTTTGAAATTATATGCTGCATAAATATTTATAATACTTGCTCATTGTATTCTCATTCTTTCTACGGTTTTCATAGTACAACCTTGTGGTGTTTTGACCAGAAGTAAATCATACAGTACATAGTTGGTTTATTCACTAGGCAAGTGCAAGCATTAGAAATCAGATTTCTGATCTACTATCCTGACAATATTCTAATAATTACTTAAAACTCCACGTTCCAAGTAATTCACTTGCTAGAATATTCACACACTAGAACTATACAAAGAGAAAAAAATTATACAAACTTAAAATATTCAAATCCTATATACTGTTTCTGGAAATATTTTTGCTGATTGGTCAAGAAAAGTTCTTCAGACTGTCTTCAACCACAAGCCATGTTGGTAAGACAGGAAGGTGCTCTGTTAACAAAAGCACAACATTGCTCCAAAGTATTGCCAACAAAGGTGCCCCAGTTAGGAAAATGATTACGTTATTCCTTAATTCTAAGTGATACATAGTCAATTTTGCAATTCACTGAAATAAAATGAGCCTTGTTCTTTAATTTGTGACCTTGCAAACAAACACTGATTCAGCCTTATGATTAAAAGTCTATAGGCTATTTGGAACCAATTTTAAAATTTGAAGATTACAGGCTGATGGCTATGTTAACAATAAAGTACATTTTTTCACCTGGATATTTTAGAAACATATTTTCAAAAAAATAATTACAACTGCAATTACTGAGTTGCTATTTGCATCTTCCTCCCACTTGGTTATATGCCTCCTTAATTTCAGTTTATTTTCTTTTAATATACAAAAAAGTGAAGTTTTGCCAACTGCTTGACAGCATTTTGAGAAGCAGCAGTTGTTGCTGGCATTCTGTTTTGTTGATATCCTGCAATGAGGGAGTCACTTGGGGTCAGTGCAAGGAAAAGCAGATTTATGCTGCATAGGGGATTTTTTCTGAGCTGTGGGATGAAGGCTGGGCCTGTAGCATAGTTCTATGGCTGAAGGAGGACAAAACAAAGAAAGTTTTGCTATTTTTACTTTAAAAGATAATGTGCTCATTTGTTTTCCCCAGAAGAATGTTTGCTCCACTCAAAAACCATGAGTTTGTTCCTCCCAAAGCAGTGTCTTTTTAAAACTTCATCTAGGACATCTGCATAGATGCATGCAAGATCAGTGAACACATGGCAGCAGGAAATGCAAAATTCTCAAAGCCTGCATATAACTCACAACAAACTTGGGACTACCCTCAAAATGTTTTCACAGTTTATTTGGTCCTGGAGGCATCAGTTTAATAGCACCTTATATATAAAACATAAAAGCCTTGCATTGTTTCCTGGGGACCTTCCTGATCAACCAAGTCAGACCTGTTGTCACAGAATCTGTAGCTCTACCTTAACACAACTGACTCTGCCTCCCCATCCGTTACTGTTTTTATTCACACACCTATAAAACAACAAGTACTGGAACTTTTCCTCTCTTATAGTCCAATATCTTCTATTTCCCATTACATTTATTCACAGAAAACATATCAATTTATTCTTGAACCATTATCCTCTTCCAGTTTAATGAGTCCTTCTTACCCTTGATGGTTGTTACCTTATGATATGTGTACAAACTCTTACCAAATTCTCACTCTCTGACCAGACAGATGGAGGACAGATACTTTAGCCTCACCTAGGACAGTTTGTGCTCAATTCTCAATAGATTACCAATTGATTTGTGTACTTATTGTTCCTTTTTTACTCATTTTGTTACTACACTGGAAAAAAAACCACTTAAGTTTCTTTTGGAGGTACTTATAAGCGGATTAAAAAGTCAAATTTCCTATTTCCATAAAAGGTCAGTTAGCATAAGTACACAATGAGGTAGAGAAATGTTTTACAGTGTGGTCTGTCTCATCTTAGCACATTAGTAGTATTGAATACACCAGGAAGGACCTCCAGTTGACTACATTCACTGGGAATTTCCTCATAACACCAAGGCTGCTCATAATTTGCAAGTAAATGTGTATCTTTTACCTGGAATGTAATGTTCCTTGGTTTATAGGGGGTCTTTTTCCTTACTTGCATTGCATAGTACTAGCAATACAGACAGTTCAGGTAGAAGAAAAAATGAAAGGATCTGGTCAAAAATTATTTGCTCCTTGCATTTACCAGAGGCAATGTGAAGCCTCATTATCTTTCCCTTCAGGCAGAACTATGATTCATGACACTGCAAGTTGCATTTGGCTGTCAGACTGCACCTTTGGCAATTGTAATACTGCACACAAAGGAAGGCCTTGAAATTCTGTCCACCAGGAATCTGATAAAACATCTGTGCAAGGTGCAAGCCAGAATTCCTGCTGGGATCTGTTCTAGAAACATTAAGAATTGTAAATATGATGCACAGTGTCCCACTACAAGAAAGTGCAATAACTGGGGGGAAAAATACATTTCTAACTGAAAGGACCTCATAAGATTAGAGTGTAGGAGAACTTAGACATGGTTCTTGGACAGGACTTGACTGCTTTGCTTGCAAAAGCCCTGAAACTGGGTTAGTAGCCAGATTTCCGTCTAAGTACATTATTTACCTGCAGAAGGTTTTTGCTGCTGCACTGGCTCAGCTATCCAGTGTCCCAAGAGAAGGAGAAATCAGATACACCTGGCAATTTGAAGCTCCCTTGTGAACAAAGCACAGCATTTTGTACTCTATCAAGCATCTGACCCAGCAGGAATATGAAATTAGCAATGTATATCTAAAGGCAGGAAAGCTTCAGTACTTTCCCAAGATACTCAGTGTCCTCTACTACAAGGGGAAATGGAATTTATAGTCCAGCAAACACAGACTGAATTCAACGTGTGTATGAAAAACTGACCCAGGTTCCTGGCACACCTGGGAACTTCCACTCCATGACCATCAAGCTTCCCAACCTACTATATATTCTTCCAAATTATTCAGCTTTCATATACACAATTACACTGAAGCGGGATGGAAAATTCTAGATGACTGCCATACATTAAGCACAGGTAATGAATGACTTCTCATTTCATGTGCTGTCTCCACTCCTGATTCAAGCATAACTTCTCAGAGATCCTATAAATTAATGAAATCAAATTTTACCTGAAACTGTAGGTGGGAGCCAGCACCTCTGGCTCCTTCTCCCTGTTCAGGAAGTGCTTTAAAAGCCAGACTAGAAGCCACAGAAACCACCCCCAAATAATTTTGAAATAACATTGTAAAAAGCAGAAAACATTTACAAACCAGAACTGATTATGTAATATTATCAAAGATTGTCCACCTTCAGGAGTTTATCACATTTTTGCTACACACACACAAATGTAAAGACTTTCCAGTCATTTTGCTGACCTAGTTCTTTATGCTTATGCAGTGTAGGAATATATGTCTTGGCACATAATATCTTGCAATTTTTTTAGTGGAAACAAGAGACCACAATTTCCAGCCCCAACTATTAAACTCAGCAAAATGGCATACTGTAAAAATAAATTTATTTTTTAAAAAAAGACTTGTGGATTTAGGTCAGCCCCATCATACTAACCACCATAAGTGCAAGACAACTATTTAAAGCAAGCAGAATCCTCATATTCATCAACAGACTGTAAATTTCAATTTGATACTCTTAAGTGTATCATTATCTTACTGGTGCCCCACGATCTCCTGGTTTCCCTGGTTTTCCACTCGGGCCAGCAACTCCTGGAACTCCTGGGGCACCCTGCAGCATAAGAGATGAAAAGTGAATTGTGGAAAACCACAACAACCTAAGTGCTAAGAAATGTGTTATTGTGTTGAGTCCAAAGCACTACTGAAAATGGTTCCTATCAGGGGTTTTTCTGTTAAGTATATATTAGGCTTGAAAACTTTCTTACAGAACAAATAGTTTGTTTCTTCATGGAAATGTGTCCTTTTATATAACAGCACAGTTTAACAGGCATTTCTGAACCTAAAAATGCAGAGTGCGTCTATATGTTTTTGGTATCAATCTTAATGACAGACTGCTAAAGAAGTACAAAACAGTTTGGCCTTCTAAATTCATCTAGCAGGTCCGTGATCCCTGTAAAAGTCCAGATCAAGAAGACCATAAAGTCATTCCAGTGATACTAGATATATATGAAAAAACAAAAGACCAGTATTAGATTATGTGATAAAAGCTCATCTGAACACTCACAAAGGGGCACAAGAAAAATAATCATGGGGGAGCAGGAGCTGCCCAAGTAATACCGTGCCCAGAGACTCCTGTCCCTATATGTGTTGTAAATGTGTGCTCTGTGTGTGCATGCCTAATGGAAATACATCTTCTAACTTGCTTCTGGTTGGAATTGGTAACATTCAGCTCTAGCAACTTGCCTATCTCAGGCTGTCTGACCCAGCACGTCCAGCCTTCTTTCTAGCATGGTCCCACAAAGCACAATGAAGCAGCTTTTTAAGAAAAAACTAATCCTCAAATACTCTTGTCAAAAAACCCCCCTGTATTAAAAGCATTAGTTTCCACCAGTTTACAAGTAATAAGCTGATTTCTTTCAGAAGATCTAGCTATGCATTTAAAGATCATGACTAAAGAACCAGGTAAACTAGTTCTTTCCTTATTTACACCGGCAGAAATTGGTTTCGAAACCACAGTTACAAACATTTGCGAATACGTGCTTTAAGTAGCTGTCTGCTCACCTTTTACTGAGAGTTTCCCAGACCCATTTAGGATATTAAACAAAGGATCACTGTCACATTTGACAGAAATTGAAAATGTCAGTGTAGCTCTCTGTTGGCTCAGGTCTCTTAATTCAGAGCATTTCAAAGACAAAATTATATTTACCGCTGGTCCTGGTGGGCCTCTTGGACCTGTGGGACCATCTTTTCCTGTGAAACCCTATTCAAAAACAAAAGCATAATCAGAGATTAATTTAAGATTGTAGCCTGATGAAAATGGCCTTTAAGATTGTATAATTGCAATACTCCTGATTACTACTGCCATATATTTTAAAACCAATCTACAATGTAAGTTATAAAATAGTTATCACAACTAATGCTGGAGAAGGCTATGGAACAATGAGCTATAGACAATTTAGAAGATGTTCAGCTGCTGTTGCTTAACTGAGAATTAAATCAATCTTTCTCAACATTTTTAAGAAAAGGAATCATCGTTTGATGCCGTGGGATTTATGGTGCCTCAAAAAATCTCCCGGAGCAGTTAATTAGGGGTATGATAAGAAAGGGTTTATTATGCCAAGGCAAAAGATGTTACACGGCACACGCACCCCTGTGCCTGAGATGTTACATTTTATAATACCATCCATCCCATCCCAGATGTGTCCACCCTGTGGCCTTTACTCTGGACCGCCCCGGGTCCACCCCCTGAAAATGGGTCTGCGGTGTATTTTGGGACCACCTACTTCATCTATCTTCATCTTCTTCAGAGCACAAAGGGTACATAGTTACCTAATTCTTGACTTCATTTTGTTGTTCAGGCCCTGATATGGCTGTTCCCTAAACAGTCCAGGCCTTGCCTTGATAAGAGACTAAACATTTCTACTGGATTCGGGGGTAGGAGTGATATAGGGAGCATAGAATGGGGTAAGAGGGTTAAGGAATGTGTAAACAAGGGTGCTACAGGGAAAGGGATGTAAGGGATGCTGCTTTTAAAATCTACCTATTAAACTTATAAGGGCTTACAAGTATTAGAAAAATAAAAACCATTAGGGGCTTAAGACATCAATTCTATCCCAGAAGAGCAAGATCTTTCTTTTCACTGTTTTCTCACTCATGGATTAGTTGGAAAATCAGAGGTTTCTGCTTAAATGAAGAACCATCGCCCTCTCAGATATTTCCCCTGCAAGAAGAGATGCTGAGAAGTCCCATTTCAGTGACCTAACATAGCATTCATAAATTAATGTTGATGGTCCTTGACCCACCAATCCAACATAATGCTCTTTGGCAACTGGCTATGACATGGTTGTCCATTTTCACTTCTGGCTATCAACTCCCACTAAAGGATAACTATATATGCATATATCAGCTATAAATTTTGACCGTAAAGGCTTGTAAGAGCCTTTGGCTAATTTTGAGCTAATAAAGATGGTAAATATAGATGGTATATTTAAAGATGGTAAAATGTTATAAAGATATGGTAAATTACTATAAAGATGGTAAATTGCTTCAGTCATCTCAAAGATGATATTCCACTGTGACAACAAAAGAGATTTACTTAGTTGACTCCAATCAGAAGGAAGGAATTGTAACAACTCCACAACAAGCATGCCCTTCACTATGAAGACATTTCAGAATCCTCCATCCAAAGAAAACTTCTTAGCTCCAAATAGTCAAAGGTTTAGGAGCAAACCTGACCTTCACAGTAAGATTGGCACAGACAAATTCTTTACCAATATGACATCTCCCAGACATTGAGATAAGCAGAGATTCAAGGCAACAGCAATAGTGTGGGGAAGACAGCAGAGCTGAGTTCCTCAGCAGAGCCCCACTCAGTTGCTCTGTGGGTGCAGGTATCTGAGAACCCAGTCAGGAAAGGGAGCAGTGCAGTTTTTACAGAACCTACTGGCTACCTGTCTTGGGAGGTTTTCACCCCTGAGGTGTTTCCAACCCTTCTACTTTTGTCTCTCCAGATGGGATACTGATAAAAGAACTCCTTTTGAAAAAGTATTTGAAAATAGAAAGATATATAAAGAAGCAGGGGGAGGGAGGAGAGGAACACAGAAAACACATTACTTGGTCTTTTAACATAAACTGATGAAACCTTACCCTTTCTCCTGGAGGACCCACTGGGCCAGGTGGACCAGGTAAACCTGGAGTTCCCTAGAGGGAAAAGGAATGAGAAATTGTATCCATGACAGAATAAACAACACTGCTATGCTAAGCATCACATATATCTCCAGTACAGATGTTCTTCCACTTTTTCTGTCTAATCTCATTGTACACTGACATGTAGCATTGCTTTCTCCAGGGCATTACTACTCCCTAAAAGTGTATTACTAATAAAACAGGTAAGGAATACAAGGTCCTTGGCCCATGACTGACATTATCTGATATATAAAATTAAATCCACAACAACATTTAAACATCCCCCATCTAGTCTATATATCTCCAGTAAAATTAAGGACAATACAGTAACCAAGGAATATTCATTATGTCACCACATGTGCAGTAAAATGACCTTAGATTATCTAAATTTCGCCGATTATCTAAAAATACCCTAAATTTTTCTCCTCAAAACCTAATCCTAGTTTACAATATAGAAATCTGAAAGTAACTGAAATTGAATATTGCTTTCTTCTTTCAGAACACAGACAGTTAATGTCCCAAGACCACTTGAATTCCAAAAGAAGGAAGTAATTAGGCAACATTGCTGAAGAGGGGTTCCGCAAAGGTTCTGCAACCTTTATTTCAGGAAGATGCTTAACTGCAAGTGGTCAGCAGTTGAGAGACCTTCCTGGGACGCTACCAGTGTACTCTTCACAACTGTCCAGATGGACATTTCGCTTGACTCAGTACAGCTGTTCTTTCACTCTTGCTGTTTTTAATGGTTTACTATTTCCTATATTTCAAGTTCCTAAGTATAAGATAATTATGTTTCCAAAACTATTACTTAGGAAGGTATGAGAAGAGCCCATGACTCCTAGTGATGTCAAAGACAGCTGTCCAGCAGCAAACCTGTATCAGGAATAGTGTAAAATGACATTACCTTGTCTAAGCATCAACTTACCGATCGCCCTGGTAGTCCAGGTTGGCCAGCATCACCTTTTATTCCTTGACGACCCTATAATTTTCATAAATGATTGCAAGATATTCTGAATCACAGAATTAATTTGTGTAAATTGATAGAAAATATTTCCCACAAGACACCTAAATTAAGGAATCCATAACCCAACTACATATTATGGAATAAATCAAGATACATAGACCTATTAAGTGAAGCAATACTGATCTTCTAACAAACATTTGCAAATGCAGGATGACTGGGTGATATTATATTAAAAATAAGGCATTTGAAGGGGGCTTCAATTGATAAGAAAGTGACATGGACTTTTGAGTCCATGACTGATATCACGGCTGATATCAGATGATATCACAGCAGGAAAGCTGTGAGGGGTTACATGTTTTCTTCCAATCTCCTTTATCTTTCTCAGCTGGGGAATGGAGCTGTCTAAACTCATGAAAGGTGAAATCTTGGTCTTTTTACAGTATCACTAGTTTTCTCTAACCCATGGTCTAAAAGATATTACACACTTCCAGGACACAAGGTGTAGGAGCATATAAAGCAGCAATGTATTGCCTTTCACAGGTAGCTTGCCTTTCATATACACTACAGCACTGTAGTATAAATGCACAGTCTAAACCTACATGAGCTAAAATTGACAATACAATAGTTATTTTTTACAGTGGCTTCATGATAATCCAGCATTAAGAACTGTTAGTAACCAAACAATTTGTAAACATAGCCTGCCAATGTGAATCGCAATTGGAAACTAGGACTAAAAAAGTGGTGCTCTAACTTCTTGTGAGCTAATGAGAAATTCCATGAATGTTGGCATTTTCATTCTTCAGACTTTATCAACTGAATGTGACAAATAAATATATTATTTGTATTCCATGTCTAAAAGGAATGTGTTTGCCCTTTCTTGCTCTTTGGCACCTCTAGAACATCTTGATGAAGTTTTTCCTCCTGGTATACGAAAAAAAGCCTGAAAAGTATCTACACAGGTTAAGAAAATCTTTCTATTTTGTCCTTACAAAGCAGACCGTGTTGCTAATGTCTATCTTCAAGCACATTTTATTTTTCATTTCCCAAATTACATTACATTACAGACAGAGCAGGTAACCTATTATCAAATGTAAAATAAGACGGGATGCGATCACACACCAGTTCTATTTTATTTTCCATAAACTTTATATTTTGATAAAAGATTTCATACAAAAAACTCCTGAATGTATTAAAATTCAAGCTAATCCTAAATAAGAAACATCAGAATTATACTCCTACTTTTGGGGTGATTGCTTATTAAAATGTGGCAAAAGCAGTCTTAATACACACAATGTAAGCAAAGGGTTATGTATGCTATTACTATAAAAAAACAGAATATGGTGAAATTTCATCAGTGCTTTGAAGGCACGTGCATGAAATCGGAAGCAGTATCTTGCTAAAATATGCATGCTATTGCCAAGAAAACCTCCTAGGAATGAAGGGTTGTTCTGTATGACTAGATATAGGCACCCATTTCCTCTCTGAACCTTCAGCAACTGATTTAGGCCAAACAATAGATGTTAGACATGTAGGTCTATGAGAAAGTCTTCAAATTAATATTTCATGCTTAATTTTCCTGCACCACAGTTTGATAGTTTTGAGTCCTAAAGCTGGAATGCCTAGCAACTCTACGGAAAAGCCATTAAGACCGAAAACAGAGTAGCACAATATACATTACAGTGCTTAGGATCTGTCTCTTCATTGGTATCCCATAAGCACATCTAACATTCAGGACACAAAATGCCGTTGTATTAAGAGACTTGTTTCAGAAATAGACTTGTTTCATAATACTACTGCCCTGCAGGGACCAATGAACATTCAGGCAAAACTGTCACCCTCTTTGCAGGACCATCATCCACATGGACAGCTCTGGCTCCCCACACGTTCCCACCTGCACCCAAAATGGCCACTCACCGGTTCACCTGGGATTGACAGCCCATTGGGTCCCTGCGGACCTGGCGGACCTTGAGGGCCAGGAGGACCTGTCTCACCACGAGGACCAGGAGGGCCCTTAAAGCAGAAAATTAAAACAAAATTGTAAATGTCAATGCCTTCTGAGATCTGTAACTGCAAAATCCTTTGGGTTAGACACTTAAGGTAAGTCAGAAGCTTGGAGACACCTTTAATACTTCAGAACAACTTCAGAAACATTCAAGTGGCATAGTCTTACATAAGCTATTCTCTGACTCATGTTGGCCAATACATGCCCTCTGGCAGCATGAATGAGAAGCGTAGCCATCTCCTCTGTACACAGGAGAGAACAATAATGCTGCAGAGTGTGTATCAACACCCTGATGCCTGTAATCCCAGTATCCTTATGTGCAGTCAATGCCTTTGAAGATACACAGACTGTGTATATATAGTCTCAAATAGGTTGGCTGCACATAAATAACATAAAGGCATACTTTCAAGTAAATTTTTCATTTCCATTCTTAGCTCAGCATAAAACTAAGCATATAAATTTTCATACAGGTAAACATGTAGCAACATTATTATAGATGCATTAGAGGAAAGATACTTACAGATGAGCCAGTCAAACCCCTTTCACCTCTGGGACCTTTAGCACCTGGACCACCCTAAAGTGAGTATTCAGAAAGAAAAATTATTTTATACACAGAAAGAAAAGGTACATAAAACTGGTGTGCATTATGAATTCTCTTTAACAAACTTATATGAAATTCCGAAGTTTTGAAGTGTACAGATCACTGCTAAAAAGAGTGCTAGAATAAAAGATGCATGAGGAACTCAGGTAAACCACATCAGCTTCAGACTTGCCAATTCAGCTGACAAAAATTATTGTGATTTTTGTCTCTGCAGAAAGAAACTTCTTCAATTTATATTCATCAAAATCTCTGGATATCTCTCTAGTAGACTACCAGACAACTTAACTGGGCTTCAGCTTCCTCATGCAGCAGTTTGACAGCTTCAAAGTAGAAGGACTACTGGGCTGAGCATAACTCCCTTATATTCAAAGCAATTGATAGGAGCATATTCATTCTATAGACTATTTCTCCATACAAAAAATAAAGACAGTAACTAATTTATTTCCCTTACAGAGTAAAGAATCTTTCCTTGGAGTGAAATCCTGATTCTTTATTTAGGAAAAATATTTGCACAGTCCATTAAAAGTATCTTGTACACGATGTGCAAGACAGCTGAGACTGGGCCAGTCTTTCAACCTATCAAACAATGAGGAGCTATTCACAGTGATGATCACATTGGAAATACAGCAAAAGATTATATAAATGAATAGAAGTGGTAGGAGCTGCCTAACTGTGTTTGAAATTAAGAGGAAATGGGGACAGATTACTGAGATGTTATGGACATGTTGATAGAAACTATGTCTCTGACTGATCTTTTTTCACAAAACCACAGATCAACACAAAACTATTTCCATAAATCTAAAAATCAGAAACCTCTCTGTTGCAAATAGTTAGAGCTGGTAACTTACAGCTGGTCCAGGAGGTCCTGGAGGTCCCACACTGTCTTGAGTACAGGTACAAGCATTTGGAAGAGCTGGGCACTTTGCTTCATCTCTCTGAAAATTCAATCACAACAATTACTGTCATTTTAAAGAAAAGTACTCACTGGCAGCATGCTTTTCTAAAACAATAGGAGGAAGATTCTCTATTATCCTGTTTTCAAGTAAAAATAAAACACACATCTCACCAGTGGTTTCCAAATGTTTCTACAGCACCTTTTATATTTTTTAGCAAATTTTCTTTGCAAGTTATGCAAGGCACTAACAACACAGGCACAAGTAAAATCAAATTCATATGCAATTTCTATTGCTCTAATATTTATATGCACTGGACAATCAACTTGAACTGACAAAGAATATACTAGTTATTTTTTGAATGCTAATCCAAGAAGAAATTAAATAGAAAAAAATATATATAGCCATTCCATTCATAATACCTAGAATCTGCAATATCACAGAAATTATATTATAATGGACATTTTTTGCACCACTCCTCTAAGGGGCTCAATTCTAGCATTACAACCTTTCACCCTCAAACACAAAACCTTGAAATGCAGTATTGTTCAGTGGCTGCTCTGACAACTGTGATTTAGAGGTGTTGTCAGTACAAGGTATAAGACCAGCCTAATATTGATATTGCTAAATTTCCTATTAATAACGTTTTTCTGAATAGCCTCTCTTTCGCTTATACTTACCATTGAGGGAAGATCACAGCATCTGTCTCTGCTAGTCCATACTGGACTGCATACAATGTCAAAATTCTGGATTTCTAACTGTAAAAGAATGGAATACTCTTGAAAGATGAGAGATGTTAATTATGAAATCTATTGACATTATCATTAAAAATTACTCCTCTATTTCTAATGAGGTTAACATCATTCATACTTTCACTTCTTCTTTTGACACTGACAGAAAAAGGATTTAAAAATAATAAAAAATTTAAAACCAAACCTACATAAGGCTACAAGAACTTCAGACACTGATGCTTGCTCTTGTTCTGGGACAAAAGATAACCAAATAATGTGACAAGAAAGATTTTGCAATGCTTAATGAATAATACCAATGAATTTCTACATCAGCTGAGTGCCTGTAGAGTTCAGCATGAAATCTGGTTGAAAAACTTCTGGACCAGCTCTGAAGACTGCAGTCCTTGGGTCATATATTAATTCAGATTCATGAACAGAACTTTTCACTCACATTAGCAGCAAAAGGTTTTTCAGAAAGGCTGAAATGGGGATCTTAGGTAGACTGTAAGATCCTCAGCTGGTAGGGTTTGCACACATGGGTCAGACCGTAGACTTAAATCTTCTAAGCCCAGGTAACAGTATCAATTACGTATTATTACATATTAAGTATATATCAGGATAACTGATGCAACCTTCATAGCAGCAGCCACTTTTTCATTACAGGCTTATAGATCATAAAGTCATTGGGGATTTCTCTGATCACCCAGTAGAACACTCACCACAGGACATGTCAGAATTAAAACCTGTTCATTAGAGAATGTCTTTTAGGAATAAAAAATGTTCAGTGATAGAGAACCCACAGTAAATGCACTTACTGATTAACTGTTCTCTCTATTGAGAGACAAACATTCCTGCTCTTGATTGAATTTACCTGACTGCTTTATACTTGACTGCTTGTTTGAATTTACCTGACTGCTTTTATACCTGAAATACTTTCAGCTATTTGATTTTTGTTCTTGCAATTCTGCTGGAATGAGAAGCTATCAAGACCAAACTTTTCAGTTAAGTATATTAGGTCTTACAGTACAGACACTTAGAAGCTTTGGGTGCAACACTCGTTTCTTAGTGATCCTTAATCTATAATCTCTTTCCTCAGAAAATTTCAAGGGCTCACATTAATGAATGGATTCATATTTATTGCTTACTGTTGCTGATCTTCGGTCGCCTTTTAGAAGTTTCCCAAGTATTTCATAGCCATCAGTTGTGATGTTCCCAGCCTCCTTAATTGGTTTTTCCAGTATTTCACTGCAGTCAATGTAAATCTTAACATTTGATGAAGTTACAACAATATGGACCTGAAAAAAGTTAAGCATAATAGTTAAAAAAGGCACATAGGCATAAGAGTATTTCACTGATTAGGTATTACTGTTTGAAAGTTTCTTCCTAGTAAACCTGCTTTAATTTCAACTGGTGGAAAAATTCAAACTCAAGGAAAGTCTATGATATAAATAACTTCTTTAGAATGTGTTGAAGGTCAATAAGACGAATACACAAGCACAGCAAAGAAATAGTGTTTAATGTAATAGTTGAACTATAATTAGCTATTTAAAAAGCTTGCCTGAAAATTGCTTTAAGATGGCATAGAAGTAAAAAATAAAAGAATTTTTGAGAAGAATTGAATATAAGCATTTCTTGTCCTCCTCTGATGTCTGGGACCACACAAGAGGTTTATGAGTCTGTGACTGCCCACGGGCTAATAGACTCTGCCTGTAGCTCAGAGAGTAGATTGTTTCAGATCCAAAGATCCAGGGTTCAATTTCCACAGATGACTCAACCAGAGGCATTAGCTGCATTGAGATACAGGAAGTGACCAGAGAAGCCTGCCCAGAACAAGACAAAATAATGGAAGATGCAAGAGAGAAATTTCCATGAGAGAAATATGGCTACAAAAACATATGCTAAAATAAGGAGAAACGGGGAAGAAGAGGAAGAGATTAATTATAGGAAATAGGGGAAATTTAGGAGGGAGAAAGGAATGACTGCAATAAAGAGAGTACGTTTACCAGGAAAAGAGAATTAAATGCTTATGGGAAACACAGCAAACCTTACAGAGAGGAACAAACAAAATCTAAGCAAATATTATCCTTCCAAAAACGTATAGTATGTATGTCAAACATTAACATATGTGAATTTTTTACATTTCTGTGAAAACAGAAAACATTCAGGAGTCTCAAGGAAACAAAAAAGGGTCTGGCATTTTAGCACATGCAGTTGATGGAAGGTCATCTCAAGGCAACAAAGTTTTATGGGGCTTTATATACCTTAAATACTGCATATATTTTACATACATCATTATAACATCTACGTAATTGTTAAAATATCAATACATTAAGATCAGCAGTAAAGAATCCCTGACATAGGCATTTATGTTTTAAAGCTTCTGTTATCCCAGTACATAATCCTTCAGAAGCATATTGTTATTTGATTACTGCTTTAAAAATTGGCATAAAAGTGAGAGATTTCCTTAAATGTCCTGAGTCAACAAGTGCCTGAACATTCCCCTGAGAATTTTTTCTTCTTTTTCCCTATTAAATATTTTTCCATGCAGAGTTGTCTCCAAGGCATCAGCATAGCTTACCTAAAACTCTTTTAAAATTATGTGCTTATGCTTTATATACAAGTGAGGTTTTTTTATTAGTATTCCCAACAATGTTCCTTGAGCAAATAATTAAAAAATAATGGAAAGATAACTGAGTGTGTCCAAAGTATAATCGGGTATTACATGCCAAACTTTCCATAAAATAAAATAAGTGCTACGCCAAAACTTTAAATTCATTATAATTTATACATCATATACTCAGTCATTTGATTGTATGACTAAATTTTACAGGTTAATTAATGCATCATCCAGCTTAAACTCATCATAGATGTAATTTACTAGTTCTGACAGGTACCTAACAGGCAAGGCCTTCTACTGGAGTGTTAAGTATTTGTCACAATTTCAATAAAGTAAAAGACATTGCATAGCAAAAGGATATTACTGCATTTTTATCTGCACACAAAACTTAGAAGAGGTGAATCTACATCAGAATGCCGAATGAGACCATCAACTTGAAAATGTTCAAATAGGAATAACTGCTGAGCATTGCCCATCCATCCAAATAAGAAGAGATACCAGCAATCAAAAATAAGCAGAGTTCTCTCAAGTCATTGACTCAGTCAGCTAACCACTGATTTAATGTCAGATTTGAATTCCAGCCTAAATCTCATGGCCCAGGCATGAGGCATCTGGTCTTTACAGCAAATAAAACATCTCTATATTCAAGCCTGCTACATTTTGTCTTCAACAATTTCTAACACACCAACATACAGAATCGGTTCTGATCATTTCATTCCTGAGATTTTAGGAAAGAAAACATACTTTAATCTTTCTCTCTGGACACCTTGTAAGATAAAGTTTGATGGTGTTCTGATCTACTGCTAAGGGAATCATATCAATAAGCTAAGCAAACTAATTTCCATATGTATATCAGCAGAAAGACATACACTCATTATCAAATTTTGTGTGACTAACTACTGCAAAATGGTAAGTTAAAAGGAAGTCTAGCATGGTAAGAATAAGAAAGAAGAAGTTGTCTGTCTGTCCAAAACATCAGTTATAAACTTAATGACTGTCTCAGGCAGTCAGATTTTTTCCTATGGGACTTGCCAGATTCAACAGCTTTCACCATAGCTGTGCTACAGAGAGTGTTCAAGTACGCCAAAGTAAATTTCCCTACAGTTAGGTTTAGTTAACTGCATTTCACCGAATAAGCCACTAAGTCATCAAAAGGAAACCACAAAAATGTTTGATATTTTGGAAAACAAACTTCTTGCATTGTAAAGATTTGCTATTTCTTTGAAACTGGATGGTAGGAGAAATTGCAGAAGTACCTTCAGGAATGTGTTAGTCTTACTTTCCTTCCTTCATCCAGCTGAAACTACTGTGATCCGTTATTAGGAGCTAATCAACATGGCTGATACATAAGTCTTTCCCAGCACGTGAGCTGGGGAAGCCCATGATGCCATCATTTACAACCTGACTCAGATAGCAATGTCAGTAATCACCCTGGAGAGAATTCAGAGAAATAAGCTTAGCTACATGATGAAAACATCCCAAATACCACTCCATTAGCAAATTTGCAGATGACACCAAGTTGGGGTAGGGGAGTGTTGATCTGCTGGAAGGCAGGAGGGCTCTGCAGAGGGACCTGGACAAGCTGGGGAGATGGTCTGATTCCAACGGGATGAGGTTCAACAAGGCCAAGTGCCGGGTCCTCCACTTTGGCCACAACGGCCCCATGCAGCCCTACAGGCTGGGCACAGAGTGTCTGTAGAGCAGCCAGGCAGAAAGGGACCTGGGAGTTTGGATTGACAGGAAGCTGAACATGAGCCAACAGTGTGCCCAGGTGGCCAAGAAGGCCAATGGCATCCTGGCCTGTGTCAGGAACAGTGTGGCCAACAGGACCAGGGAAGTGATCCTTCCCCTGTACTCAGCGCTGGTGAGGCCACACCTGGAGTCCTGTGTCCAGTTCTGGGCCCCTCAGTTCAGGAAGGATATTGAGGTGATGGAGCAAGTCCAGAGAAGAGCAACAAGGCTGGTGAAGGGACTTGAACACAAGTCTTATGAGGAGAGGCTGAGGGAGCTGGGCTTGTTCAGCCTGGAGAAGTGGAGGCTCAGGGGAGACCTCATCACTCTCTACAACTCCCTGAAAGGAGGTTGTAGCCAGGTGGGGGTTGGTCTCTTCTCCCAGGCAACCAGCAGTAGGACAAGAGGGCACGGTCTTAAGCTCTGCCAGGGCAGGTATAGGTTGAATATTAGGAAAGAATTTTTTACAGAGAGAGTGATCATACATTGGAATGGGCTGCCCGGGGAGGTGGTGGGTTCACCATCCCTGGAAGTTTTTAAGATGAGACTGGATGTGGCACTGAGTGCCATGGTCTAGTAACCACGGCGGTGTTGGATCAAGGGTTGGACTTGATGATCTCAGAGGTCTTTTCCAACCCAGCTGATTCTATGATTCTATGATTCTTTAAATCAAAGCTCCTCCAGCTACTTTAAGTACTATCAAAATCTGAACTTTTGATTCCTTTCTGGGGAAAAAAGAAGGGGAATGGCTCACTAAATAAGTGACACATTTTTGCTTAAGAAACAGTCCCATAAGCAAGAATTCATAGTTCCAGAGCTTTAAGATAATTTGCAAATGGATGTTATTCTCGTACATCATTTGGCATCTTAAGCTAACTTTCTGTTCATATGTATTAGTGTATTTACTTACTAAAATAATAAAAAATTCTGGATTTTTACTTTCCCTGTAATTGTTTTTCATTAGCAAGTGTAACAAACAATTTTACATTACTGATAGTATTTCTAGCATCTAACAGGGGCTGCAGATTATTCCCTATTTGCTCTGATAAATGAGCAGAGCTTCACTGTAAGTGCTGCCAGACAATTCTGCTCAACTCTAGCACATTTAGAGAAACTACAGGGAAAAATTTGATTCTAAACATCAAATTAGCAGCAGACCCTTAAAACAGACTGCTGGCAGTATAGCACATAGAGAGCTCCACACCACCGACCTGAAGAAGGGAAGTATCAACTCTCACACTGATATGTAAAATGAGGCATGCTACATATTGCTCTGTGTCTCAACAGTACTTCTTGTTGATGACTCAAAAAACAATATATATCCTAGCCTATACTGACAGCTTTTCTCACGTCGATAGATTTATACATTTCCTTAAAATTCAGTTGTCCTACAAAAAGAAAAAAAAAGACAAAATGCCAAATGTCAAGGACAAATTAAAGGCTGCTTAATGTAGTTGTGATCCGAAGCTAATTGTAACTATCAGTTACAAAATCAGTGACTTAAACAATTCTTCATATATGCAAAAATAATTAGGCATCAAATAAATTCTAAAGAATAGTTGGATATAACATAGAACCAGTCTGGGAAATTATCCTCTGTCAAATTCTGAGGAAATCACTAGTTTTTATAGTACTGTGTGATTTCCATAATCCTCTGTGTTTTAAACAAATGAAGTCACAACACATCATAATGCTGGCACCAGCTATCTTTCCCTGCTATCAGCCAAAGAGAGCTCAGTTGAAAATGTGGCCTCCAGTATCTGGAAGTTGACAGAGGCAACCCCTTATCAGTATCCTCAAAGGAATGCTGCAAGTCACTAGTCATAAAGAAAACAAATGCTATACTCCATCCATAATTAGTCATCCGACGAAAACTAAACTAAACAGAAGGGAGATAAATGAAAACATGAGAATGTGCATTTCAGCTGACCAAAAGTGTTGCAATTGCAACTCACTTTCTTGCCCTAAACATATATACTTAACAAGCAAGAAAATATTTTTAAATTATTTTTAGATATATGTGCAGCCTGACACCCAAACACTTGGAATAGTAGAGGTAAGGAAGCAGGATCAAATTTTCATAATTCCATGCACAAGTTTAGAAAAGCAAGCAAAAAACTGTCACAATTGAAGGCAGATGCAGTAACATGCAAGGATTTCACTAGACATTTTGACAATTCAAAAAACATAAGTTTCATTCTAAATCATAAATAGATTTCTTATGGGCTCTCTTTCATTATTATTGCCTCCTCAGTTAACATGACAACAGAATAGTTTAGGCCCAATGAATTTAAGTAAAAAACATATGAATACACATTCATACATACAAAATATATGTATTATATTTGATAAACATAAGAATCTTCTTCAATATGTTATTCGCCTTCCAACATTGGTTCCTACTCACTTTCTTTGGTTACATCTTCCTCTTCTCTGAATCATTTCAAATCACAACACACACCCCCCAATCTTTTGTCACCAGAACTTCCTTTCCTTTTTTTTTTTCAAGTTTATCTTTTATTCTCCCTCTTTCATGTGCCAGGAACTAGGCTACGATTTCTTGTTCAGATGTATCCCTTCACTTACAAATTGAACAAATTCTTGACAAATTCTTGACAAATATCTTACATTGGTTCAAAGGAAAGCTATAATTTCAGAGATCTTGTTTTACATGATCTGTAAGTCCCTATGTCAACTTAAAGTACTATCCAAGGAACAGATAGACCTGGCAGTAACTTCTGCTTAGTTGTCTTTTATTTCAAAGAACAGCACTTCAGAAAGAAACATTAGTAATTTCAATCCTTTACCTTATGGAAGCTTCCGTAAAAGATTTTCTTTATTTCATCATTATCAAAAGTTACAGTTTGAACCTCTCCCCGTGTATCCTTGTTAAAGAATGACAGCACTTTGTTGCCAGCTGCAATAAATGAAAATAACACATTTCATTTCACATGTACTACTGAAACCACCCTCCTAAGATACACTTATAGATAAAATCTAGTTTATCCCTCAGTTGGGTAAACACAGATTATGGGTGGTCTTAATGACCTGTAAGTACATAGATATACTTTCCTTTGCTTTTAGAGTTCATACCAAAGTTGAAATGTAGCTTAGATTAATTATTCTTAGTTGAATAATAGATGCACAAAGTTTAAAAAAAATCTCTTAAACCAAAAAATATGTAATCCTTTTATCATATAGAAATGCTTTGGGGTTGGAAATATTTGGGAAGAATGCATACAAAGTAACATAACATATAACTTCTCTATGCAATAAATATAATCATCCTTACGATCAAGTACAACTCCAACTTGAGGTTTGTAATCTCTGTCTGTAATCTGCCAAATTGAAAAAGGCTCATTGGGGGATTCGGGCAGGAGACGGAATAACAGAATGATAGTGTATGCCTGCGGCAATCCCTCTGGGTGAATCTCTCTGTTAAAAAAATATGAAGATATTTTTTCACATGGAAACACGTAAGGAAAAGAAGGTCTTCATAATTTGCTCTTTTTTCAAAGAAAAGACACAAGAGTAACAGGGAAACCACAGCGTTCAATGGAACAGAACATTTTAACTACACTTTCAGATAGAAAATACTGTTGTGATAGAAAAACATCATGTGATTTGCTAAGATGAACTCACAGCCTGTCTTCTGTTGGTCCCGGCACCAATATAGAGGAAGCCGAAATATGACCAAGAACTCTTGATTCTTGTGGCAAGATTCTGTATAAACTGCACATGTTTTAAATTCCTTGATGATAAGTACAGAAAAAAAGACCACGCTTTTTATATCTGGTCTGTTTCAGTCAGGCAACAGCACTTAACTACTGCTGCCTTTCAGGCATAGGTACGGTAAGGGAGATATTCAACATCTTCTCTGCAATTAGTGATGCATTTGGGCTCCAGCTCATTCTTTAGTGGCTCAGGTTTAAATTTGTGATATTTGAACTGTTAGACATTAAAAAAGCAAAGAGACAAAAGTAAATAAAACCATGCTTGAAATGATCTCCAGTATTTTCTAAAGGGGAAGGGAGGGAATGCATTAAAGAACTGTAAGAAAGGAGGTGGCTACTGCTTCTCCTTAACTATTATAAAGGAGCTCAGGGTGGGATTTGGCTACATGAACATAAACTTAAAAATCTTAAAATGAAGAGAGGACCTCCTTTGTATATTAGGCAAAGCTTATGTACCCATACAATTATGGACACTGCAATAAAAACGTATCACTAAGTCAACAACACTACACAGCACAGTGCAAGAATGCAAGTATTAATGTAGATACAGCAACACAAGTTATAACCCAGATAACAAGTTCTTTCAGATATGGAAACAACTATGCCACTAGGATCAGTATGCTTTTATTGCTTTGCTGACTCAGTCTAAAGTGAGCTTTATTTTCTGGATTCTCATGAAAAATAAGTGCCCAGAATATTCTGGCAAGTCCTCCACCTCTTATAGCAGACATTAGACTATGTATCACAACATTCTAAAAAAAATGAAATAAAGAGGAAGTCTGTCTTTTTATTGTCTTTTCATCAGCTGATCCTGCTAAATGCAAGGTCTATCTTAACACATAATTGGGATTATCTGTACTTCCCTAGATTGTAAAAATCCAGGCTGCCAGAGAACTATCACCCCTATAGCTATTAACACATGCCAATGAACTCAAAAGTCCTCAGGTCCTCCCCTTTTAAAGTTGTGATCTGAGAATGCTGGCAAAAAGAAATTATTTCTTCATAAACCTCAGCTCCTGTGCTTGTGATCTGATCTTTATCCAATCTGACAGAATTTCAGAAGGTTTCAAAGGTTTCTGTGAAAAGAAGACTAAATTTCCTTAAATTTAATAGGAACAATGGGCTATCTTTATGCATCTCCTCTGACTCAGAATAACCTTTTTTGAAAGTTACTTAAATAAACGGGAGAGAAACAAATGTAAAAAAAAAAAAAAGAGAGAGAGGTACTGTTCCCCTCTTAGTAAAACCAACTCCTAAGTCTTTTTGTTCTTTGTGAAAAAAATGTTGGCCAGACTGACCATATATTACCCACCCATAACCACAGGCCCTTGAAAACTCCACGCCATTTGCCAAATAAGGCAAGTCAAGTAGAGGAGAAACTACCCTAAATCAGTGGCATCAGCGTGCTGCCTACTGCAGTAGGAACAACGCTTCTGAAAGAAGTGATGCTTATCCCACCATATTGAAACCATTTCTCTCTGGCAATGGAGAGCTTCTTGTACTAAGAAGGCTGTTGTTCAACTGTCTAAGTATAAACTGTGGATTATATGCAACTCAAACGGATAAGAAGCATAATCTCAAAGAACAATGAACAACTGGATTAATAATGAACTGTGACTGCTGCAATGGAAGGAATAGATTAGCATTTAATGAGAACAATGATAGATATTCTTTGTCTTGGTGTTCAGTAAAAACATCAAATTAACACATCTTCCATAAAACATTAATGCTATCATCCAAAAACTCTGTTAATCCTTTCCCATCTGCTCACCCTAAATATGAGTCTTTCAGGTTTACTTACCGTATTGGTTGGCTGACAAAGGCATTTTTGTGGAGTCTATATGCTACATAGCTTGGGAAAGAGCCTGATTCCAGTGATACGCCTTGTACGGAAGCAAAATGCTTCTCCGTTAGATTATATGATTCCAGCATCTTGAAACCTTTAAGTCCAGAGAGAAAATAAAAAACAGAAACATTGTAGAGCTGTACAAGACGCAAATGAACTTATGCCAAAATATTAGACAGTTGCTTACCAGGTGAAGTGTATCCCTCCAAGTAAATAAGGGGACAAGCTGAAAGACATGAAACAATATATAATTAAAACTACAAAACCTAACATGATATGAACATACATATACTTCAGAAAGTTTTGTTACCGAGAAGTCTATGCTATTGTTAATTATGAGTCAAATTTTGTTACATTTGTCATAATGTGTCCTGTGCTGTGGTAGATGTGCTGTCAAATTCTTTACTCATCATTTTTAGTAGGCTATTTCTACTGTGAAAAATTGTATGGAACAAGAAATGAAACCACAAATATTTTAAGAGTATAATTCATACGAAGAAAGGAGGACAATGACACAGTCTTTCCATGAATATTTAAGGCATGAGTCGAGCTGCATAATAGCTGTCAGATTCACAAGGAAAAACTGCATATTTATGTAGCTCCTCAGGAGCCAGCAGATGAGGCAGTTAGAGAGCACACAGTTGCACATGACAGGCCTGAGAATTTCTTATTTTTGCCATAGAAGGATTTCACTTGAGTAAACAACTCAACTGTAGATAGTTTTAAAACAGCATCACACAGTGTAGCTTTACTTCTTTAGCAACCCTATCCCAGTGGTAAGTAAGAGATCTGTTGTACCCTGCAGTTCACATCAGGCATCATTCTACTTCTTCTTAAAGAACAGAAGTTGTCACTGACTGTTAATCTCTTTTTGTTTACCAGTACTTTTGAAATACAAGACAAGATTACATAAAATACAATACCTTCTTCAAAATTTTAAAAAAGTAATTTGCTCCCTTAAACTATGTCCAATTATTATGAAATATAACTTTTTTATATGAACATTTCTTTTGAGGTACCTTAAATGGGATGGCAACTTGTGTTGGGTTTGCATGACAAGGTTTTGCTAGCAGGGGAACTACAGGGGTGATTTCTGTGAGAAGCTGCCAGAAGCTTACCCTGTGTCCAACAGAGACAGTTCCATCTGGCTCCAAGATGGACCTGCCACTGGCCAAGGCTGAGCCCATCAGCAGTGGTGGTAGCAACTGGGGGATAACAGATTTAACAAGGGGCGGGGGGGGTGGGGTGGGGGATGGTATGTGTAGCAATGGCACAACAACCTGCAACCGGAGAGAGGAGTGAGAATACGTGAGAGAAGCAACTCTGCCAGGCACTGGAGCAGAGATTCCCCTGCATTCCTGGTCTTCCCTGTGGTGAAGGCTATAGTGATGCAGACTGTCCTCCTGCAGCCCATGGAAGTCTACAGGGGAGCAGATATCTACTTGCAGCCACTGGAGGAGCCCATGCTGGAGCAGGTTCCTGGAAGGACCCGTAGCCCCATTGAGAGAGGAGCCCACCTTGGAGCAGGTTTGCTGGCAGGACTTGTGACACCATGAGGGACACACTGTGAAGAACTGCAGCTGATGGGAAGGAGCCATGTTGACTAGGTCTTGGAGGACTATCTCCCATGGGAGGGACCCCACACAGGAACAGGGGAAGAATGCAAAGAGTTCTCCCCACGAGGAGGAAGGAGCAACAGGGAAATCATGAGATCAACTGACCATAGCTTCCATTCTCTGTCCCCCTGGGCTGCTGGGGGTGAGGAGATAGAGAAAATTAGGACTAAAGTTAACCCCAGAAAGAAGGGAGCAGTGGAGGGAATGTGTTTTAATACTTGATTTTATTTCTCATTATCCTACTCTGATTTCATTGACAATAAATTAATAACTTCCCCAAGTCGAGTTACCCAATGACAGTAACCAGTGAGTGATCACTCTCTGCCCTTATCTTGACCCAGAGCCTTTTGTTATATTTTCTCTCCCCTGTCCAGCTGAGGAGGGGAGTGACAGAGCAGCTTTGGTGGGCAACAGGTGTCCGCCCAAGGTCAACCTGCAACTCAATTGTAGCAGCATATAAGCAAAATTCATTTGGGAACAGGAAAACCAATGTCTTCTACTCACTTGAGGTAGCTGTCTCACACACAAAGGTGACAAGGTTATCTTGAATCTTTTCAAAGGCATCGAAGTCATCAACAATAAATACATGACGCTCACTGGGCTTGCTGGCAATCTTGGCCAGCTCATTGTAATCTACATCAGCCACACCAACCACAAAGACACTGAAGCCTGTAAAAATAACACTTGTTACTTGAAATGTAGTAAATATACATTACCGTTTTTCAGGTCAATATTTCACAAACCATCTCTATCATTGATTTCTCAGGATCTACCTATTAGCATACATTCTGGATATCCTTTCACCCCTGTCAAGCTCAGAAAGGCTTAGACTGGTTTTTGCATCTTTCTTTCAGAACTTTCTCCTCCTTTTTTGAGGGGGCATTATCCAATCTCATACAGCCTTGGCTACATAGTCCCCTCACTCTTTAATGCAATATGTACAGTTCTCTCAACTCTATATTATCTTAAATCTGCTCTATGGCCAAAATCTCTGTACAGACTATTAGTTATCCTGTTGTCTGTCTGTTGCCATCTACTGCATTTCATGTTTCTTAGTTTCACTTTCTTAGGGTGGTATTCCCCTCACCAATTTTTACTTTCCAAGTTAACAAGTCTAGGCTACTTGTCTAGTCTTTCTCTATTATCACTAGACAGACATGGGCAGATTCAGAATGCAATTCATCTCATCTCCCTACGATGCTGAATTCAAGACAGGAAAAGTAATTGTCTGCAGATGTCTATCTGTTGTTCTCTTCACTAACCATAAAAGGACCCTACATGATGACTTTAGACTAGACATTTAGCTTTTAGATATCTTAAGTCAAAGGAAGAGAATCCAGACCCTAGAATTCAATCGTATCACCAGGTGTAAATTTCATTCATGAGAAACTGCACAGACAGTGGGCTGGCTGAAGGCTGAAAGAACAACTCACATTTACTCCAAATGATAAAGATATTTTTATTTATATCTTTATTTTTTCAAAAATAAGATAATTATTCCTCTGTAGCCAATTGTGGTGAAGCTTTGGCTGAAACACTCTGTCCAGCTTTAAGCATGACATTGAAGATGTGTAGAAATCAAAGCAAGTAGAGAGGAGAGTAAAAGTGATAAGAGGTTTGAAAAACTTGATCAAAAGGAGGTGGAAGGAAATGGGTTTGTTTAGGCTAGAAAAGGGAATTCAGAAAGAGGAAATGACAACAGGTTTCAAATATGATGGCCTGTTACAATGGACAGTGATCAACTGTTTCCTGGTTAACTAGGTAAATGAAGACAATAATTTCACTAGCCTGAAGAAAGACTTAGGTGAAAGGCAAGGCAAAGCTCTCCTACTACTAAGGTAGTTAAGCACTGAAGCAGATTGTCCAGGGAGACTGTAGAAATCATCTAGACAGAGCTAATCCCTTCAGATCACAAAGACAGAGAAAATGATCACTTGTGGTTTACATGCATGTGATTCCAATAAGGAAGTACATCTCCCTGCTCAGGGATCAGGACTCTACATGGTTCATGCACTGCAATGCAAAATGCTGGATGCAGGGACAGGAACAGATGATTTCACTCACATAAGCCACATTCAGCAAATCTAAAGAGGAAGTACAATGCTTTTCAGCTCAAAAGGCAATAAGCGAGTCCATTCAGACCCAGCTCCTTCAAAAGCAGTTACTTTAACTGGAGATCTACTGGTTTATACCAGATAAAACGTAAATCTTAAAAAAAAAACCAGGCCCATTAAATCGTAAACTCTAGAATGCAGTACACTTCCCAATGATCCCTGGGGTTCACACACAAAGAAGAGAAAGAAGTAACTAAAAGCCACATCTTTGAAATTATGCATGAGGAATTACTTTGGGAAGCCACATCCTCCCCCAGAAAGAAAGCTTTAGAAAGAAAAAGTAAGTCTGGTTGACAGTGTGCGAATTCTATTAATAGTTTTGAGTTTTTCACAAATATTCAGCATACATTTCTGAGTCCATAAAAGATGAGTAAATGATGACCAGATAATTGAAGCAATATGGAAATGAAATAGCCAGGTACTGTGAATTGCTTACCAGAGTGCTGAATGACCGTCGCTGCTTTCCTCACCTCATCCTGAGACCGACCATCTGTGACAACAACCAGTACCTTGGGAACACCTCGCCTCATGCCACTCTCCCAAGTCAAAACCTTTTCTTTGATAAATGTTAGGGCTTTGCCTGCAAAGTGTACAATAAACAAGGAATCATCCATATTATCCACAAGAGGAGAAATCACTTACTTTTTAAGGGCAATAGCTAAACCACAACAGAAAAACCTAATTCTTCAGCCATGTAATATTAGGATAATGAGGCAGTTTCTGAAAACATTTTATCTTAAGGAAATATAAATACAGCCCAAAATTACCTGTCCTTGTGTTTCCTCCTCTGTACTGAATATTTTGAAGAGCACCCAGGGCCTGGGCTTTGTCATCAAATGTATTCAGTTTAAATTCAGATTTTGCCTCATCACTGTATTGCACAAATGAAACCTGAAATGGAATATATCACAGTGTTCAGTCTTGTATCTCCACAGTCAGACCAACTTTCTCCATTTAAATATTTATCGTGGTATATTAATAAGCATTAAATAATTGAAAAATCTTTTTTAAATATGTATGTCTATACACACACATATTCATGTACACAGCACAGCAATATGCACACAATCCTTTTTGCTCTTTTTCTTTCTCTTTCTCTCTTTCTTTCTCTTTCTTTCCTTCTCTCTTTCTTTCTCTTTCTTTCTTTCTTTTTTCTTTCTCTTTCTTTCTCTCTTTCTCTTCCTTTCTTTTTTCTTTCTTTCTCTTCCTTTCTTTCTTTCTCTGCCTTTCTTTTTTCTTCCTTTCTTTTTTCTTTCTTTCTTTTTTCTTTCTTTCTTTCTTTCTCTTTCTTTTCGAAATAACAAACCTACCTGGATTCCAGCAGGATTAATCAAGTCAAAGGCTCCTACTGTATTAAAAACAAATTTCACTACTTTGTTGAAGTTATCATCACCAATACTCCAGGAAGCATCAGTCAAGAACACTATGTCTGCTTTGGCACCTCTGCATACTGAAAGATGAAGAAAAGGAAGTCTTAAAACAAATCAACCATATCATCATAAAATAAAGATCATTACTTCAAAATTTGAAAATTCAAGAATGACCAATATTCAGCAAATGCTTACTACCACACAGTCAACCTGGCAGATGACTAATGTTCAACTCAAAAACATTTATTAAAATATTTCAAAGAAAAGTTCAAGAAATGAGGAAGAGCTCAAGAATAAAATACAAATGTTTTCAATTACATTTTTTCTTTGAGCAGCCACCATAAAACATAAATTGTCTGCTGAGAGCAGCTAATCTCAAAGACTTGCTGCAGAGCTATAGAATATAAATGATTTTTTTCCGCAAAACAGAAAAAAACTGCTGTTCTAAACAAGGAAATGTTGAAGTCTAGTAAAGCTCTAGAACAAAGGGATGGCATTAAGAAAGGTTTCAAACTTCATTTTCCTAAAATGCTGTACTAGTTTTGAATCTATTTAAAGTTATGAAAAATGGAACTAAATTATGAAGTAGTGCAGCAACTATATAAAAAATATTGAATGAATCTAGAAATAAACATACCATCCCGAGCTGGAGGGATTGTGGGAGGTGGAGGAGGTGTAGGTGGTGGAGTTGGTGCCTCTGTAGGTTTGAGGACTGAAATGAAATAATAATTTTTTTACTTCATATAAATTATTTCATTCAAGGAAAAAGTTCTATATTATATATTATATTATCCAACAGAAAGACTCTAATGTCTTCTCACTAATGTAAAAAAATTAAAATTGGCAAGGAAAACTTTCTTGTATTACAAGAATAATGATATTACAGCTAAAAGTAAAAAGTAAAAGATTTCATTATAAAAGGAACACTTTTACATGAGCTCAGTAACACAGCATTCTGATAAAGCATCTATTTTTCAACCAAGTGCTAGGAAATACTTGGTTTGAAGAAGAGCATATAAATTTTTCTTTACCCCATAAATTCCATTTGACATAACATTAAGAGGAAAGAAAATCACTTAAAGAGGTATTGAAAGCCATTTAGGAGCAGAACAAGTTCTACAGCTGAAACAAGACAAGTTCTACAGCCAAAACTTAAGGTTCACAGTATCTGTTACCTACCTGTATGCTCCCTCATAGAGACTGGAGGACCCTCAAGGTTAGGAGTCTGAACAAAGACAGTGGCATTGTATTCTGTGTCTGGTGAGAGGCCAGTAAAACAGTGGCTCGTTTCTGATCCACGTACTGTGATTTCCTTTCCTCTGGAACCTGTCGAAAAAAGCCCAAGGGAGAGACAGTTAGAACTCACTACTCCCCTTTCAATATGTGTACAAGTAAGTGTAGAAATTAGAGACCTCTTGAGAGGAAGGTTGGAGCCAATGCTACAGTAGTCTTATTCTTGTCCCATAAAACCCTTTCTAGACCAAGACTGTGTGGTGATTATGAACCCTGGAGCATACTGGAGAGTGACACTGCAGTCTACATGTGAAAGCAGGTAACTAGTAGATTCCCACTAATGAAAGTTCACTTGACAATAGGCAGCACTCCACCTTCGCAGCTATTTCACCACTAGAGAAAAACTGGTTACATTCAGATCTTTAAAGCTCAACCAGATGTATCATGGCCTATGGTGAGTGACTGCCACAAAGACAAAGAAGTGTTGCTGTCACTGACATGAGACAATTATATTACCAGAAAATGCAAAAAATAAAATGCACTTACCATCAGCTGGGTTTAGCTTCAGCCTGTAGGAAGTTGCTGACCGATGAGGTGACCATCGGATACAGAAAGTATCCCAACCCACTTTGTAACTTGTTAGGTCAGTGACATTCAAATATACTGTGAAAAGAGAAAGAGAGAAACTGTTCTCTGGAAAATAGCATGTAATGGATAAAGAACACCAAAATGAAAATCATATTAGTAGTGTTGATCCAGAACTCGATTTTAAAAATCCTCACAGAAAGAAAGAGCAGTTCCAGTTACAATCTCTTTATATTATGCCCTAGAGATCCCTGCCTAGCCACTTACAAAGGCCCAAAATCTGATACCCTTCCCGTATTGGATAACAGCCCATTTTATGAGTTTTCACATGAAGTAAGTTGATTTCTTTATGAAACAAGAAACTTCCAAAAATCAAAATCTGGCAGTATGAAAAGAACATACTAAGTCAAAAAAACTCAGGATGATTGATTCATCTTAACTGAAGAAATTTTTAGAAGTTTGAAAGGCCATCATTACAATTATCTCATTTTGAAATGCTGATGTTTCAATCACTGGACATTCCTGTGAGGTAAAAGCAGAGAAGCAAAAAGACTAGACCTGCTTAACATGGTTAGATTCTGTAGTACCCTGGAGACTTAAAAACTGACTTCAACTATAGCTTAATAAAATTTTAGGAAGTAGACTAGAAAATTTTATATCATCAAATCATTACTTAAAAATGTATCTTCCTTACTGTTCCCAAGCTTAGCATTTTTAAGATCTACATCATGGACAGATGGTAAGTATTCTCCATGAGAGGATACTCAGGTTTTCCAACAATCAGCCTTAAAAATCTTCTCTTAATCAATGTTATCTCAGATCAGCTTATGTATCTAGCATGACCACAAAATTATTCTGACTTACATGTAGTGCCTTGATCTGTCAGAGGTATACTCATTCCAGAATCATACTGGGCATAAACATTCACATCATAAGTAGTACTAGGAGACAGATTATGCAAGGTGTAGGAAGTCACTTCTCCCACAAAAACCTCCATGGGCTCATTCGAACCTTGAATTGAAAGGAAGCATTAAGTACAAAGAGAGAGAAAGAATCATGATTACATGAGCTACAAAACCATTCCCCATCTCTTACATCAGTAAATGTTAGTCTCATTTTATCTAAAACAAAGCATACTGACTTCTTATATTTTAGCATATTAGAATGTTGCAAACAGAACATAAACACAGCTTTACAGACTATTATGCAATTTTTGTGTTTAACTTCTAGAAAGGTATGTATATTTCTTGACTGTCATATAAAACAAAGGTTCTGAAGGCCATAACACCTAAATACTTGTCCAGTACTCATCTCACACGTACCAGTTCATACCCTTAGAAGGACAAGAGATATTAAAGAGGTGAAAACCAAGTCAGGTCACTGTATCAAATTTTAACTATACAATTCAATCTCTGTAATTGAACATATGAAACTGTGTTTGAGAGTTTGTGTTTCTTACAAAACACTGATAATAAGACTTAAGCTTTCAGGAAAATCAGTAAACAAAGGAAATAAATAGATCATTTAGCACAAAAATTTCATGATACATATGATTTCTACTCTGATCCGCCATTAGCTACTCACTGTTCTGAAATTGGTATACTTAGAATGAATAGGTTTTCTTACCCACAGGTTTGTATACAATTTTATAGCCAAGAACAGGGGATGGTGAAGGATCCCAGGAAACTCTGAATCGTGTATACCATTCATCAGTTATATACATATTTTGAGGAGGAAGCAGACCAACTAAAAAGAAAGAAAAGCACTCTAATTAGACTAGTGACTGTTTTTCAACCTCTAGAAATGCACATTGTTACTCTACAAGGTAACAACCACATCAAAAACCTAATTAACAATGAAACTTTAATAATGTTGGAGTGCTCAAGGAATATGTCTTAAATTTTAAAAAGCATACACAATATGAAAACTAGTTACCAGTTCTGCCATTTCCAGTCAGTTGTCCACCATCTCCATCTTCGTACACAGCAACAACAGTAATTTTGTATGGTGTATCTGACTGTAGTGGTTGTAGTATCACATTATTTCTTATCCCAGGAACTGTTGTCTAGAACACAAACAAAACAGAGGTAAACACACTCACAGTCTTGTAACTGATCAGTAATGACAGTTACTAAAACCCAAAATTTGTTTTGACATTTGGCACAATTTTTTTTATGTCCACTGTAAAAAAAATTCATTCAGGATATATAAAGGGTTATAACCTATAAACAATTATTAGTCTTTGTTATTTCAAATTATAAAACCCTGTGGTCAGCACAAAAAGATAAACCAAATTGACTCTTCAATTCCAGTCCTCACATCAGACTGAGGTGCTGCAGTTCTTCACCAAGATTTCAGTACTGTTCCCTCATAGAAAGGAAGAAGTCATGATGATGTGTTTGGAGACATAAAAAAGACAGTGAAAAGCTCATAAAATGGGGGTGAAAGTCAAAGTTATTTCCACTAGTCCACAGTTTCATCTCTACTTTTTCATTATCTTCATCTTTGGATATCACTTTCTTGGCAGAAACAAGTTAGTCTGAGAAGGAAGGTCTAAATATTTTGATATATAAAAACGTCCCTATTATGCATTCCTCAATCTCAACTTCCTGGTGCAGCCATGCACTATTGCTACCTTCTAATGAAAATGTAGGTATAATCCCAAAAGGAATATCGCTCCATAAAGCTCCATAAAATACTGAAACTATGGAAAGTAACTTGAGGAATCTATCTCAAAAGCATGTCCCAGTCAGCATTTTCAATTGTTTGAGATTTTCTGTTTTTATAAATTTTCAAGTGTTTTCTGCAAAGAAGATATGTGTTGATAAATATATGTGTCCTGACTAACAGGTCCAGTAGGGAATTTTCAAATAGTGAATTTTCAGCATGCACTATATAATAATATACAAGCAATAATAGCATTTAAATAGCATTCTAGACATGTTACATTTTGGCTGGTGGCAGTCAGCAGGAATTCTGCCACTGACTTCTATGGGATCTGAGTTTAGCTTTGCTATAAACACTCTGTGAATTTTATAAGTTTCAGATTGTAACTTGCACTATCATTAAGCTGCAGGAAATGAAACACAAATGCTTAAAATTCATACCTAAGCTTACAACAGCAAGTTAGATGCTGAATCAAAGTTACCGTTGTTTTCTTATTAGACTTTGCCAACTCTCTTCAATTTATAAAATGCTGGCTTATGTTTGTTTTGTATCTTAGCACACTGATTTCATAATGAACAGAGTGTGAAGTAATAGATGGCTATTCCTTGTATTGCATTTAAATTAAATGCCAGGAAGGAGGTTCCGCTCAGAATCTTCTGATTAATGCATGACTCACATATTTAAGAATATTTTACACACAAATTTGATCATTAAACCATACATGTTCTGCAACTTCATGAATATAAACCCATTTCATACAAACCATGGCTTCTCAGCACTGATAATGAACAAAGAAGCCATATAGCCTGCAAAATGTACTACATGTAGAACAAGTGTCTTTGTTTTTCCGTAGCCTAACGAATCAACTGAGAACATCTCAGTGTTTACTAAGGAATTACAGAACTTACATATTCATCGATAGGGTCTCCCACAGTGGGTGAATAAATGATTCTGTATTGCTGAACTGGCCCATCAGCATGATCCCACTGTACAGAAAGGCTGTTTGTAGTCTCATCGAACACTCTCACATTCCTTGGACCACTGCGAGGCACTAAAGAATGAACATACAGAAGGTTGTATGGAGCATGATGCTTCTAGTTCAGTGTCACCCTCATCCATTCAAAAGCTGCCCTGAAGCCAAAGCCTAGGGCCCTTCCTGAAATCTTGAATAAATATACACAGGTAGATTAAGTCAATGATAATACAGCAGTGCCTGAAGGTCTTAAATGGAAATAGGGCCTAACTGGAGGAACTGGAGCAGTATGGAGGGGAGAGAACATCAAGGGGATGTGCAAAGTGAGCATCTACATACATTCTGCTTCTCAGATTCCTGCAGACAACTATAGCCTGTCACATCTGCAAGTTTTAGATGAATATGGGGATTTAATAGAGAAAGCATAGAAGCGGCAAAAAAGAGGTGACCTATTATTGCCATTGACAGTTTCTATACATGTTATTTCTAGAACGAATTTTAAAGAAGCTAAATGTAAGCCAACCAAAATCCCACAAGCTAAATTGTAACAAAGAGGTTTTGGTGTTTAAGTATCTCCAGCAAAAAACCAAACATCTGGGCAGACTGACACATACATTACCATGTCAGACACAGAACACAAAGCACTTTTTTTTTATTGATAACTAATTCTACCCATTTAACCTGCTTTTTTTTTTTTTTCAAAAGACAAATTGTTATTTATCTGTAATTTTTAAGAGCAGCCTTTAAACTCCTAAACATTCAAATTAAGCTTATTCCACAAGTGAAAATTACATTGGGGATTATACATGTGCCACAACTGACAGACAACAAGTTCCCTCCCATGGAGGCCTATAATTGCTTCAGTCATAATTTAGATGCATTAATATCAGAGTTGGACTAAATGGCTTATATTATTTGTGACTGTAACCAACTTCATAAATTCTTCACATACCAATTTTGACATATATTTCACAACACAAGTACTGACTGCCTCTTACATGTTCTTCCCTGTGCTTGGCTTGGATTTCCCTCTCCGTCTGCATAAAGAGCTATAACATTTATTGAGTAAGCAGTGTCAGGAGTCAAGCGCTCCAGAATGACATCACGAGTGCTGCCCGGTACCACAATCTAAAATAGAAACAAAAGGAACCTATATAAATAGAGCTTGAGTTTATATCATGTCTTTTTAGAAAACGATTTGAATGAAATATAGAAAAATTGGGAACATGACCATGCTGCACACATCCAAGAAAAGTAACACAAATTTAAAATAACCAAATAATATTGACAAAAATTCAATAGAGGGTGGGAAAAAAAGAAGGGCAAATACATAAGGAGCTCTCATTCTGCAAATAGAGTTGTTATTTTTTAAATGTTACATGAAAATAGTTCAGAAAAAAAAAGAAAAACATGTAGGAAGGAAAAATAAAATGTAAAGTCTGTCACAGTCTATTAACATATAAAGGATATTAAAATTCTCAACTTTCCTTACATAAAAACATATTAATCTGTACATGTACAATATAGGTGTACATTTTGTGTACATTCACAGTCAAAGCTTCAAAACTGCACTTATTTCTACACATCCAAGAAGTCTTCACATCTGAAGGGTAAATTTTTACCCATATCCAGACTTCACTGCTCACCAAGACCTACTTAAACACCAGTGATTTAGGGTAAGGAAATGGTTTAGTGGTAAAATCACATAAACTTGGTATCTGGTTTCATAATTAAACATTTCCTAAGAAATATTTGTTATTTCCTTCTCTCTTACAAGAAAAAAAAAGGCTTTAATTTAGTCATCTTTACCTGCAATATGATAAAGGATACTCAATTTTCAATATGCAGTTTTAAATAGGAGAGTCTTATTTCTTATGTCTCTCATTTCGCCAGCTTAAGTCTTTATTTACAATGGACTAAACTCCTATAGACACTCTGTTTTCAGCAGAGACACTCCTGGGCAGATAATTGGCCTGTGTTTATTATTTTATTTTTTTTTTACACTCATTGAAGAAAGCAATATTCTCCACACACTTTTGATAAACAGTATAAAAACTAAATTACTTACAGATTCTGATGGCCTTGGGCCAGTCAGTGGAGCGTAATTAATTCTATATTGCTGTACTGGACCTGGAGCAGGTTCCCAACGGACATTCATGCTGTTTGGTGTGGGATTGTAAACGTGAACATTTCTTGGTGTTCCTCTCTCCACTAGACCAAGGATAATTTAAACTGAGTTTTACAAAGTTGCTTATGTAAGTTATATTTCTACTTGAATTTACAAGAGAGCTCAAAGGAAAATAAAAAACACATCAGCCCAAGATAAACACATTACTTTTGTTAGCTCCTACAAATTTAAGAATACCAGTGATTAGTCTTCTCAAACCTCCGTGCTAGGTAGTTAAGTACATGTTTTTACTGCAAATTGAAAGTATGATCATAACACTTTGTTATCCTGTTGTTGATCAGACATGTATGAAAAGTAGACACAAATTACACATTTCAGCTCATGTTGACATTAGGAGCTTAAACTTCCTGGGAAATTTTAAGTACATGGTATAGACATTGGCATGGATTAAAACCAATATTTGATGTTTGTTCACCGGTATTGCTACTAGCACTACAATTGAAATTTTACTATTCTGTGAGGTAAACCGTAAATTCGCTTCACAACTTAGGAGCTGAGCTTGCCTGAGATAAATGGACTGAAAGCCTCCACACGAATAAGCAAAGAAAACTAAGTTACAGAGCTGAAACCATAATCAAGATGGTAAACAGTTTTTGCATTTGTGTTTTAGCTTTGGGGAAAATAAACTTCCACTTTTGATGTAAAATCAATTTCTAATGATCTGAGCCACTCACACAAAAAATCCTAACATTTCCTGAAAAGGGCTATTTTACTTACAAGTTCTTCCAGTGTCAGAGACACGTCCACCATCCCCCTCTGGGAAAACTGGAACCACAGTTACAGTGTAAGGTGTGTTGGGTTCGAGAGTCCTTAGGATGACATAGTTTGTGTTTCCTGGTACTGTGGTCTACAAATTTAAAAACAAAGGTAGAGGCATGACACTTACATAAATATGTAAAAAAAGTGTAAGCTTTTTTGTTTCTCACTCCTCTACCACATTTCATTTCCAGACTGGATGTGATAATAACTACAGAAGGTGAAGCTTAAAATAACAGAGTTCATGGTATCTACTGGAATTACTTTTCAAAAAGGTTCTGTCTCAGACTTAAGAAAAATTATTAAGTTCTATCCTCCATTATACAATCCCTTACAGCTATCTTCACTTTGGGTCCAGATCCTGTTCTGCTGATAGTAGTAGCAGAATCTGCAGTGATCTCTTTAATGACTACTATTTAGCATCTCAGAGGCACTAAGAGGTCACTTTCTAATTCAAAAAAAAAAGAAAGAAAACTTTAAATAACATCACAACATGCTAGTGACAAGAAGTAATGAGCAGGTCATGTTAGAAAATAAAACTCCACTGCATTTAAGCATATTTGTCATCAGTAGCACTCTAGATGCTATTGAAATAGTGGCAATTCATGTACCTCTCATTTCACGGGCACATTAAATTGCACAGATGTAGAAAAAGAAACACAATTGGGAAATAATAATATTTCACAGTCTGGAGTATGGTTCCTATTTTCACTATTTTTTTAGCTCTTTAGCAGTTAAGTAATTTCAGGAAATTAGAATGTGGATTTTTCTGCTTTCACAAATATCATTGTAGCTGACTGTCTACAGTCACATAACTTCTTAGCAGTAAAAATAGGTGGAAAGAAGTTCTGCTAACTTTAGCACCTTTTGTACACCCTGAAGTCAGCTTTACATTCACACCCACTGCCCTAAGAATAAACAAACAAAAAATTGTGTGCGGTATTAAATCCCTGTGCTAAGAACTAATTTCTAATGGTCTACTATATAAAATCAAACATCTGTAATACATATGGGAGTAACTGAACTGCAAGGAGGTGCTGTGCGTTTTCTCCAGGGTAGTCATGAACAGAAAAAAAGCCATTGCATCGGCAAGCAAGACCTACTTCACTCAGTAGCATTTCTCTGACCAGCACCATGAGCTGTAATTTATCTGAGGCAGTTAGAGAGATCCACATGAAGAATTTACCATTTCTTCTGCACCTCCAGTTGTAGGTCCATAAAACACTTTATACTGGCGAGGACTTCCTTCTGCATGATCCCATCGAACATTCAGAGTACTGGTGGTTGGGTCATAAACTAGCAAGTTCTTCACAGTAGTGAGAGGTTCTGAAACAGATCAATGAGCTGTCAGAAACATGGAACCATATTCTCTCACCTGTGCTGTCAGATCATGACTGTGTAAAGTTTCCTTAGGAAATTTAAAAACCAAGAGGTTTAGTAGTTCGTGTTAAATGTTATTTGTCTTCATTAATCAGAACACATCAGCCTCATCAACCAGCATAGGCAATGCTAAATGTAGTAAAAGAAATTTATTTCTGGACACTATTTTAGAATCATGTAATGAGGCCACTAGGATTTTTTTCTTCATTCCTCATCAAACATATTGCTGTGTCTGACTTTCCATTGCAAGCTCATTATTAAATTATGTACAAGTGGATTAATAAATTTATATTTGAACAATTAATTAAATATAGTGAAATGGTTTTTATGCCTGGGGTGTCTTTGACAGAAAATCACCCAGTTATTTCTATAGCAGGATCAAAACAATGCATCAGTCTCTGAACTGAAGGTGCTTAACAGCACCCATATGAGAGTTACATGCCTTCTGATGCTTTAAGGTGTTTACTAAATTATGGCATACAACAATTACAAAATTTAAATGACGAAAAAGTTCCATAGGCACACTGGGGTTTTTTTCAGCCTTAAAAGCCAGGCATCCAGTCTGAGGTAGTGGTCCAGGGTTTCTCTACAGTCAGTAGACAGATCTTCTTACTTCAGATATTTGAAACCCACCAAAGGACAAATACAGATGGGATTAATTTCACCACAAGAAATTTTTCCAGGCTAATTTGAAAAGCAATACATCAATGTTGTTTTTCACCTAATAGGATCCAAAGAAGTTACTTACTGGTTCTGCCTCGTCCTGTAATTCGTCCCCCTTCACCATCTGCATACATTGATGACACAGTAATAGCATATGGCGTGTCAGGCTGCAGCTTCTGTATCACTACACTGTTCTGCCGCCCTCCAACCATAGTCTTCAGCAAAACAACAGAAAAACATTGAAATACCCTTTATACTTCCTCTTTTGTGCTTAATGGTATAGTGCAGAATGTAAGCATTTGATGCAGAGTAGAAAACACTGTGATGTTGAAATGCTCTTGTGAGTGACACTGAGACATCGAACAGCAATAATATTTAACACATATTCTTAGTAAGTTTAGACACAAAGCTACTATTCTTTAAAATCTCCAAACTTGCATATAACCACAACTGTGTATAAACTGCCAGTTCTTTACCAGCACAAACTATATTGTAAATGACTATATCTTATTGAAATCAATCAGAGTCTTTTATTAATTATGATAGACTCTCATTTGGGTTCTTTATGCTCCACTCTCAGGTAGAATGCAAGCATGGAATAAATTCCAACACTCTGGAGATCTCTAATATACATTAGATACAATATCAACATTGTCTCTCCTTGATTTCAAAAATTTTACAGCATGACACTTCAGCTTCTGAAACATCTCTGTTAAGACTCTGTCATCTTTTTATTTTTATTATCTAATTTTTATTTTACATATAATCCTGTGATCATAATCTTCACCAATTAAATTAAAGATTTAAAGTACACTGAGAATAATACTTAGATCTTAAACATTTGATACTCATGAGCTTTTTGGCTTTTAATAGTGTGTAATTACACTTGCTCAAGAGCATCCTTTGTACTTTTAAGACTATCTGCACATTTTCAAAGCCAATTCAACTAATGTGTTTGTCATAACAAACTTTAAAAGCATCTGATTAGGAAGAACTGACAACGAGCAAGCATTTATACATCTTCACATTTCGTAGAAGTAGAATATTTTAATTTACAAGCAAAGTACAAAGCTCTTTTCAAAGAATAAATATTTTTATCATCCCACCATGGCTGCCTCTTCATTTTAGTATCTGTTCGCCTTTCAAAATCTGACCCTAAATGATTATTAGGGTCTCTGCAGTTTGGTATGCAGTTTTTGCAGAGCTGTCTTCAAACCATCCATGCTTCGTCTTGGTGCTGAGGCCATTAAATGTCAGACAGGGCAATAAAAACCTTCCAGAAATTCTATTTTAACTATTTTGGTAGGGACAGCTCTACTGCCTACTCAGCAACTACATTTTAATCAAATATCCCACTAAAAAAAACATATGATCATATGACAAAGTTATTTGCAGACAGACATTAAATGCCATGAATAGAGGATGAGTGTTCTGTGGGCTCTCCTTAAAAAGACTTGTTTTCTCCAACTGCTACTGCTGAACTCTATCCAGCTGTGAGTAATTAAGTCTACTAACTATATTCTTTGCACAAATTTCAACAGAATGATCATAATTTTCTTTTTACTCCAGTGCCAGCAATTAATTACAGTAATTAATTAACCTTACTGCTGTTCTTTTTTCTTCTAGTGATTTCTCCCTAAACTTGTATTAAACTGCTCAAATTCATTCAATAGTTCAATTGCCTCAACTCAAATGCATGTTGTTCAGAAGAGAGTTAAAATGGATGTGTAAGTATCCAATTGATTCTAAAGTAAATATTCCTAGATACAATTCTGAACATGTGTGATCTCCAATTACAGGGGCAAATTAAATGAGCGTGTTTCTCATCTGAGACTGTTCCTCTGAGTCATTTGGCAGTAACCACAGCAGCCTCCCACTGCGGGGCATTTTTAAGTAGCGCACATTTCTGATAAACAGGCTGACTGAATTACCATTCCCAGGCTGTGCTGTGTAGGCTGCCAGTAGTCAACACAGCTCTTGCTGACGACACAGGGAAAGCTGGCTGACCATACAGTACTGGCTCTCCATATCATTACAGCTGCTCAATCCCATTAAATGAGTCTAAAACACCTTAAACACTTCCCTACCATGTGTTTTGTGTGCATTTTTTTTTTTGCAACTGCTACTTCTGGGTGGTTTTTCTGACCCTAGAGCAGTGAGAGACAGTCTCAACTGTTCAACTGAACAGCATGTTCCATGGCAAAGTCCTCTGATAGCACATGAACCACACCATGAAAATAACTGAAAACTCTGGAAATGGAAAATAGTCAAGGTATCCATATAGTCAATTGTTGTGATAACTGTATCTGTGATTTGTAGTCTTACATGCTGCTTGACTTATTCCTCAACACATTTTAACTTTATTATAGTTATATCTATAGATATATATTGATGACCTTAAGGGTCTTTTCTAATCTAAGCAATTCTATGACTCTGTGATTTTCAAGAAAACAGGATGCATCCAAAGTAATTTCTGCTCCATGAAGAGCATTCTAACTTGGATTTGAAAGGGGAGAAAGAAAAAGGTGGGAGTATGTACTGTTTCATTATAAATAGAAATTTTCACCTAAAAAGTGATTAAAATATACAATGTTGTGCTTTGAAAAGAAATTATTCTAATGGATTTGCAGAAGGTTGTATTTAAGGTTGAAAAACTATAGCACTACAAAATTAGTTACCGACTGTTCAGGGCCATCCCCACTGATAGGCTGGTAAATGATCCTGTATCTCTGCACTCGACCACTGGCAGGATCCCATTTCACAGTCAAACTATGTGAAGTTGCATTGTACACCTGAAGGTTTCTTGGGCCACTCTTTGGGGCTAAGAAGTGCAATAAAGAAAAGAATAAATATGTTATTCACCAAAAATCAGGGACAAATACTTCATTCATACTGTTACGGCTGCATGACTGCCTGATCAAGAGCAGAATGTATTAAGTACAAGAGAACATAAACTGTAATGTTTGTAAAATAATAAACATGTGGTAATCTAGTGTTTAGTATTCTTCCAAATACACAATAATATTTATTAAATGATCTCAGCTTTTTAATGTCAACATTTGTCACAGTTTAGAAAAAGATAGCTATGGGGTTTTCTTAATAGCACAATACCAGGAAATTCAGATTCTTACCTTGTGTTGTGATAGGTACCAAGGGTACTAGAAAAAAGTAGAAAGAATTTTCAGAATTCTTGTATGTATATGCTTTCTGTTTTAATAATCATGAATAACAACATGCAGAATCCCTTTATTTACTTACATGTCCGTTCACTGCCAATGAGCTCATCACTTTCTGATTCATCAGGATAGATGGCAGTAACTGAGATATCATATAATGTGTCTGGATTCAAATTTTCAAAAACCAAACTATTGTCATCCCCATTTAAGATTGTCTTGTGGAGAAATTAAAAAAAAAGGAAAAAAATAAATAAACAAAACCAGAACAAACAAAACCAGAACAAACAAAACAGACAAATAGAAAGTGGGATATAACTGAGTAACTTTTTACTCAGTAACATCACCGCAAGTGGCTGTAAGTATGTGTTCTACACCTTCTGACTGAATTTCCATTGCACACAACAGGAGGGCTTGCAATTTATAGGCCATTTATCAATTACATTTCTGATTTTAAAAATATACTCTCTGAGAAACTGCCCATGGAAGCTTATGGTGGTTGTCTAATTCTTACCTCCTGTTTTTCTGATCTTCCATAGGGTCCCCAGGTTATTCTATATAGAGAGACATCTGGAGCTCCATGATCCCAAGTACCTCTAAAACTATTTGTGGTTACATCCGTGATTCTGAGATTGACTGGTGCTGGCACAGGCTCTATTATGAGAAAAGAAAAAGTATTCCACAAAATGTAACTACAAAATAAATACAGTTAAACAAAGCAATTACTCAGACAAAGAATTTAGAAAATTATGTAGGAGATTCATAATGGGTTTCCCTTTCCCCATCCTCGACGTGGGGGAGCCCAGCTCTAGTTCCTTCTCCATCTGAAGAACCATTTCCGACGTCTTGTGGGACGGGGAAGGGGGACTCCAGCGACAGGGTTTTTCAGGCCCCGAGCCTGGAGGGGAGAGGTGCCCTCCCCTCCCCCCAGCACCCACGTGGCTCCATGGCAGGCACAGAGACAGCACACCGGGCGTGGAGAGGAGGCAAGAGAGAGTTTATTGTTGGGAAGGGGTTTATAAGGCTTTTAGGAGGGTCAAAGGGGAACCAATCACAAGTTCAGGGTCACACAGAAAAAACCATCAGGTAAAGGGTCAACAGCCAATAGGAAGGGGTTTAACAAAGGACCAATGGGACACCTCGGGACACCTTTCCCAGGACACTCCTGCATGGGAGATAACAGTTGCTGTGGGGGGGTGCTGGGAAGAAGAAACACGTGTTTGCAAAGGGACCACAAAGAGCCATTTTAAGACATGTTTAAACAAGTTTCTCATCAGGTATAGTGCCACAATTCATCTCAGTTACCATGCTTCTAATGACTACATATAACCCATCCTACCTACACTAAGCAAATCGTCCTTCATCCTTCATAAGGTCACACCATTAGGTCACATCACCGGATAAAACAGACGCAGCTCTACTGACCTCAGCAGAGATCACAACTCACATGCCTACTCACAACAACTGAAGTCCTAGCTCTTACATTTTGGAGTTAGGAGTGATTATTAACTCCCATAGACAGAGCTCAATCTCCTGCATGAGTGTCTCCCAAATCTTAAAATTCTTATATAAGCTAAATAAGACATGATTGAATTACACCACTTACTTAGAAATAATTCACAGAGGTTAACTGTAGGTTAAGAAAGCTAAATATAATATAGCCACTGGGAAGAAATACACAAACAGGTAAAACCAGAGAATTAAACTAAAAATAATTTCTTTGGCAGAGTTTTCCTCTTCTTTCCTTACACACGCATTCACACAAAACCACAGCTATAGAAAAAAGACTAGCCCAACAGCAAGCACAAAATCTCACAAACATTTTTAAATATATAAAACTACAAAAAAATTCAGAAGAAAAAAAGAGATCGTAGGAATGTTTTTTCTCTTCTTTTTCATATCAGATTGAGGGGCTGTGATAAGATAACATTGCTCATTTCTGTTGTAGCTCTTCTGGTTAACTACCTTCTTAAATCATATGCCTCGATCAGGATGAGAGCTTCTTTGACACCCGCTTTCTCCTTTTAGTCTGTCACTTCTCTTGTATGGAAATCAGCTCTTACAGTTTGTGCAACTCCATTTCCTTGCCTCTATTTGTTGAGGTACTGTCCTAGTGACAGGGGCTGGGACCAGTTTATCACTATGCAGGTATAACCAAAACTGTGTATTCTACACCCTCTGTGTAATTTCCGATGGACTGTTAAATGAATTGTTTGCAGCAGCTGCCCAGGGTACACCTGACATCTCAGGCTACAAGCTGGATGTTAAAAAAAAACCTGCAAGGCAGGGGAGAGTTTCTTTGTCTTCACACAAATGACTCAGCTGCAATAACTCCCCTTTGGAAAAGCATTAACACCTTCACACCCAGCCTGAGGGATCATCTCTGCTAATAGTCCACAATGACTGGCATAATAGGGAGCTGCAACACCTTGATCATCAAAGATTCCAAAAATATCCCATGATTCACAGAGTTAAATCACCCATTGTGAAACTCTCCATCCTGGGGGAGGTCCTGGGCATTCCCACCTGAATTTGAGCATGTATAATGGTTTGGGGACTTCTAGTACCACTTGTCAGACCAAAACTTCAACAAGAGGACTGTGATTGCCACTCTCAACAAGTCTGCGATCATTACTTAACAGAACCGTGACCATCATCTGGACCAACAGGTTTTCCTTTCCTTTTAGTTTACAGCCAGGAGGTCCTGTGGTGCTCAGCACAGGGGCTAAAAACACCGTTCTGTTCTTGTCCAGGGTGCCGGCTTATGCACCTGTCTTTAGAGGGTTAAAACCAATTTTTTTCTGGATAACTGTATTTATTGTAATCTTTAGTGAATTGTAATTCTGACATGTAATCTCACTGAGATGGGTACATTTGTCCCACCTGTTTACTTTTAAACCAGCACAGGTACTCAAATACTGCCTTGATGATTCTCTAGAAGTAGAGACGGATTTCGCATTTCACGACGCAAAAACTCTCTTGGATCAGAAGCAAGATCATGTCTCTCTAATCCCCTAGCATGTGGCCCAGCTTCCTACTCACTTTCCTAGATTCCTGCATAGATTTGCTAAACCTTTCCTCTGTCTTCATATTTTCTTACCCATTCTATACTACACTTCTCCTTCAGCCTCTAAACAGAAATAGTTGTGCTTGAGTTGCTCTGTCACCTCTCTGCAGACTGCAGTCTCAGTGTTTACTGCAGTGACACTGGAATCTAAGATTCCCACGGTTTGTTAAATTGAAAATAATGCTACAAATGCAAGTAAAATTTTTCTCAGATTAAATGACAGCTCCACATAACGTATTGCAACATGCACGACTTTAACAGAACATAAAGCAAAACCAATCACAACAATGATTAATAAGAATACTTACGAGTGACAGCTTCTGCTTTTGTTGGCAGGGATTCTCCTTCATCATACACAGCAACAAGGTGTACATTGTACACTGTTTGGGAGGAAAGGTCAGAGAGAGTAGTGCTGGTTTTGAGTCTGTCGATTTCCACCTAAGAATAAAAACAGTGACTTAAGAATTGTAAATTGCTCTTTGATTTAATGGCAGAAATTCCTGTACTGTAAAAGGAAAAGTATTCTGCACTACGTTTTGCCATTTACCCCTAAATTTACACCTGAATATTGAGTGCTATCTACTAATTTCCTTGCAAAGCATATTATATCAGATACATGCGGTACTTGTGGATCATTCACGGCTTCATTCTTTTGGAAACAAGGATGCAGACTAAAACTTAAGAAAATTCTCATTTCCTTATAAAAACACGTTTAATCCTCCAAGAGCTGATTCATGTCAAGCAGCGCAGACAAGGAAAGCTTGTACCTAACTACAAGACATCTCTAACAATGCTCACACATGTTCTGACAGTCGGCAAAGGGGCTAACATACCTTTATTCCACAATCCTGTCCTCTTAATTGTAAGCTGTTCTTAGACCTTGGCAAGATGACACTTAACCAGACAGCAGAAATGGCTGTTTACCAAAGCACAGGAAAATTCTCCAGTCCTTCTCTCTGGAGGAGGAGGAAGAAGGGAGTACCCAAAGAAATCCATCTCGTGCTTATTCCATTTCCAAGAAATCAATACCCTTTCCTGACTGCAATCACCATGAACTGATGTTCTTTACTCTTGGTGGTGGGTTATAATACTACTCTTACTGCTATGTTAGTAACCTAGCTCCTTGAAATAAAACTCTTTCTTAGTACTTTCAAGAATTTACCTCCTTTACATCAGGGTCATCAGCTATTTTGTATCTTAGGATGTATTTTTGAACTTTCCCTGGGGCAGCATCCCAACGGACATTCATGCTGCTGTGAGTAACATCCTGAATTGTTAAGCCTCTGGGTCCAGGCAAAGGTACTGTAAAAATAATGACAGTAGTAAGTGAAAATACTATTCATGGCAGAGGTATAGGTCTCTTACAGATGCAAGTAAATGCTTTTCATATCTTTTATTGAAATGGAGGCATTCACTTTCTAAGAAGTTCATCGTCCTTGCCATTAGATGAGACAGTTTAGGAGCTTATTGTCCCAGTAACGAACATAGCTATAAAGTATGTAGCTTTACCTCGGTAAATTATGAGCACAATACTTTTAGAAGTATTAGTATTTAAAATCATAACTTTTGGTGACAATAGCCACTTTTCACGTATGGTTAAGGGTTTAACATTTTTTAAGGACATACAAATAAGCATACTGCATGCATCTAGTCCAGAAACGTGCCTTCACCAATAGGAAATATTTAAGGAAAGTTATAAAAAAGGAAGCCATATTTAGATCAATTTTTTTCTTGATATGGAATGTTTCTTTGTTATTTTCTACACTTCAGAGAATGTCTGAATTTGGGAACAAGGTTTCTAAGTTAATGCAACCAAAATTGAGACCTTTTAAAATACTAGGACCACAAGATTTTCAAGCCAACTTCCTTCATTATTCAACGAAAAAATTGTTTTGTTCCTGTTTTAATAGTTGGACCCTTTGCATTGAAATTGCCTTGAGATCTTTGGGAAATGAATGAGTGTTAGCAAATGCATAAAACATGGTTAAGATGGTCTTCTAAACAAAACAGAATATATAAAAACTGTTGCATGAAATAAAATTAAATGTTGCTGAAGCAATAACAAAGTAAAAATCAAGATGTCCATACACGTCACTTCCTGGGTGGTGAGTGGGTCACTGGTGATATCACCAAACAATACGTAAGCTATTAAAGTGTACTCAGTGTTGGGGATGAGATCTACCAGCTGCACCTCATTCACTGATGGTCCAACACGCATCTGCACATGAAAAGTAACACATCATGTTTTAAAACTGAAGAAAGCAATGGCAGAAAAGCAAGCAGTGATTCAATTTCAAGGGAATTTTGTTTGTGAGATTCACAGTATATTTACAGCTTCCTGACTGATGTCATTGTATACAATATCTTTGTAAGTTCACTGCACTTCAAAAGTACATGCCAGTCTTTTGACTATTATGATAATCTAACAGTTTTTCTTAATTTATTTCTGGTAGAGTACAGGAAGTGAAGACAAATTCTCTCACCTCTTTCTCTGTGGCTGGGACTGTGGCATTCACAGGTTCATATGTTAACAAATAACCAGTAGCTCCATTGAGAGGTTCCCACCTCACTCGCATGTAGGTTGATCCAATATCATAAACATTCAAGTTTCTAACTGAAGAGATTGGCACTGTCAAATAAAAAATATATATTAATTTATTTATTTCACCTTCTTCATATTTTATATCACAGGTAGTACCACTGAGAATATTGCACATGGCTATTAGTGTACATTATGGGTAGTAGAAAGGCGATCTGCAAGCACTGGCTTTTTAAGTAGTTCTTACTTTAAGAATGAGATAATGGTCACTCCATTTTGAATGAGGCTACAGATTTGCTATATACACAGCTAAAACTCTTACAAGTTTACACTCGGACACTTTAATATTCTAATCAGCAACATTAACTCACATGAATGCTCTAATATGAAACAACACAACTGGTTTGGGATCTTTACAAAAAGGATATTTTGTCCTTTCTTCTTGTTTTCTGTATTTCTCTAATTATTAAATAAACATGGAAAACTACAGCAGACTTCATAAAAATTATGCAAATATTTTAAGGGTGTATGACAAGCCTAACACAAAACAAAGAAGTGAAATGAACAGCAAACAATCAATGTTATTAAAGAGGCAGAAAAGTCACCCGATGTTGCATTCAGCATAAATATAGCTAAAATCAATCATGTAGACAACTCATAGTAGAAACACGGCTAAGTTATATCTCACAGAAGTGGCATAACTCTGTTGAATTGGCTTTTTGCTAATTAGAAATCATTTCTATGGTATTGTCTGATGGTAGCAGGAATTAATTACCTAGCATAAAAATACAGGAGTATACATTTGTATATGATCAGATTTCAGTAATTTTTAAACTCTGTCTTATAATTCATGTCTATTGTTCTAGTTTTGTACAGCCATGCTTTATGAGTCTGGAAAGAAGACAAGACAAACATTTTCTACCACACTGCAGTTTCACTTTGCTGAAGTTTTCCAGACAAGATCTGAACAACCTGTGTAACACAACACAGTTTAGTCATTCAAATTAAAAATTTTGTTTCTGCTAAGAAGAAAGCCCATAGTGCTAAAAGTTCTACTGGATATTTCCCCGGGTGCCAAACTGGCTGTTAACATGTTATTCAAGATCCATTTCTAACTTACAAGTTGTTTCCCTGCCGATCAGAGGTTCACTGCTTTCATCTTCTACCACAGAGAACACATTAACAACATATTCTGTTTCAGGTTGCAGATCTTTCAGAACTGTTGTTGTTTCCATCCTACTCACATAAAACTACATAAAAGAGAAGCAATGTTAACAACTGTACAACAAATATATTTGCAATCTTACCTCTAAGAAAAACAATCATTCCCTGTGAAACTCTTCAGAAATCAATGGTAAGGAGCTAAATAAAGTATGGTCTTAATCTTCTATGTATTTTTTCTGACCGTATAGCAATATTTTTGCAAACCAAGCTGTAGGTAAGTCTCATACAGACACTTGTCTCAAATGGATCTGGATATATTTAGCATCACTTACTGTGCATTCTACTTTCACACATGGTTTACACTTCTATATTAAAACAGCATAAAGAAAGCGCCAGGGATATATGTTACCACTTTTGGAGAAAAGGTTTCAAACACCCAGGATAATCTAGATGGTTACAGCACATGGCAACACCTTGAAGAACAGAAATGCCAGGAAGCAGTCAAGCTGTAAAGTCAGTGTACGCTGCATTGACAGCTCCAACTTTAATCAAACGCCAAATCCTGAGGTCATGATTTACTAAGATTAAACTCTCCATGAGTAAAGAGTCCCCATGAATCTCCTGAGTTTAGATTTAAAAGCAACATTCAGAGATGAAAAGTTCAGAGTTAGGTACACAGAAGTGCCTAACTTCATTCTCCCAAATACTTCATTCTCCTAAATACTACTCTGCCTGGTTGAAGAGAGTGATGAGCAATTCAGATTACCTACAATGGTTGTGAGTCACTGACTCTTTGTGTAGAGAAGTAATAACCACAAGATAAGTCTGATCCTGTGCATTAAACAGTTTAGAATACATACTTAGGCACAGATTCAAAGTACCATCACACAGTGTTAATCTAAGCACACCTTTATCACCTACTGTCTTTTTTTCTATTAACAAGAAAGTTTATTGCATTATGGCCAGAAAATTGCTGGTATAGACATATTTAAACCAATATATGACAATGGAACAGGAACAGAAAGGAATTACTAGAAATAGCAGTCAAGTGTTTTGAAGAGGTACATTTTATTCCTTGATTCATGGTATTAAAGCAACCAAAGTTATATTTATGCTCCTATTTTTTGTAATTTTTTGTATCATTTACCAAGGCATTATATTCTTGACCTTGGGAGCCTTTTTTTCATTTACTGTTATATTATACACAGCACAAATTACAGAATGATACTACCATGATGTGGAAGTCCAAGGTTGTTATGGACAATGTCAAAGATGAACTAACCTGTTTAGGACTACCTCCAGAGGTAGGGTAATATTCAACTCTGTATCTATCAACACTCTCAGGAGGTGGACTCCATCTCAGTCTGAAAGAACGAGGCGTCACCTCTGAAATGACTAGGTTAGAGGGAGGTGGCAAATCACCTATAAGCAGAAGCAAATTAAAAAAAATATTCTTTCATCTTATATCATCAGGGATAAAGAAAAATCACTTTAAGTAGTTGCTTATGTTTCTGTTTTCTCAGGAATTACAACTTCATGAAGAGATAGCTCACCATCACACTCTCAAGACCAAACAAGCTCCCTGTAATTCCTATTCCACCTTCAACACCAGTGTTTCACTGGAGAACCATCAGCTAACATTACTTTTTCCCACGCTCAGCTTTGCTTTTGGGCTGTCAGACATAAACACTTGAAAAAAGCAGGGCTGTTGAAATTATCCTCATTGGAGGAGTACCATCAAGGAACCTGCCACAATGGCAAAAAGCTGACACACCAAGAAACATGCTTCATAATTCTGGGAAAGAAAGAAGGCACATCCAGCCATGTCATGCTGTGTTAGGCATAACACAGTCATTGTTGAAAGGAAAGGAAGAACCCCTGCAGGGTAGTCCAGGTGGTCTGCACAACTTCCTCATACCAGCAGCTGAAAAAACAGCCCAGGACTACATAGTGTTCCCAAGAAGTAATAAAAAGGAATTGGCAGTGCAAACATGTAAATGGAAAAAGGATGAAATAGACTGAAAATGTGATGTACCTGGACCTTTCACACTGTTACACAGATTCGTGGTTACATCATCAACAATGTTAGCCAGGAAGGAGAAATCTGCAACGTTGTAAGCATGGATGTCATCTGGATCTGTTGCAATCTGCTTCAGTTCATTTTCATCTGCATTTTTAATACCTTACAGATCAGACATGAAAACAAAGCTTGTTAGAAATTATGGCCATGAGGCACAATACCATGAACTTAAGTCCCTAAACACATTCTTTGAATACCCTTTCAGGTACTTAAGTGTGTGATCACTTCTCTGTGAATTTAGCAGATGGGCAGAAGGAGGCTGCTGCAGGCCATTTCTTCATATAGTACTTACCAATTGCATACAGTTCCACTCCCTCATCTCTGAGTTTTCTTGAAGGGGTGACTACATCATCCTGTGATTTGCCATCAGTGATGAGAACACCAATTTTGCGAGCTCTGGGCCTTAAGCCTGCATTTTGCTTGAAGTTGTTTTTTAAGATGAAATCCAACGCCATTCCTAGCATGATACAAAGAAAGTAACCATCACTATAACCTATTTCCATATAGTAGTTATGGTAAAAGAGATTCTTTCATCCTAGTGATTTAACTCTGACAACATAATTCCACAACTTACTTCCTTCTCGAAGTATTTGTAATCTAATTGCAGCCCATCGTCCAGACTTACCAGCAATTGATATTATTTAAGCCTTTTCAAAGTCTCTAACCTCTTAACTTTTATGCATCCTCCTATCTGATCTCTTCTAGCTTTCCTTCTGGGTCCTGGTTGTCTTCATCCAAACCCTGACATGATGGCTTTTCATCTTCTCATATGCTCAATAGTAACATAAACTCTTCATCATCCAAGCTCTCTTTTATCACATTTCTCCAGACTTCCTCTGAGTTTATAAGCCTATGCTACACCTGTTCTCTTCCAAACATACTGCATTGAACTGTAAGTCTCTTCCATCTTGGACACATTTGTGTTCACTGAACAATATTGGGGTCAGATACTAGAATAATTTTTATTGGACCTTAAGGAAAATCCTGGCAATGTGACATACCTGTTAGAGTATTGCCTCCTTTGTATGGTAAGTTGGCTACAGCCTCTAATAAAGACTGTTTGGTTCGGTAAGCATTGAGATTCCATTCTGTCCTGGGATCACCACTATACTGTGAAAGACCTGGAAAAAAAGCCATAATTTCCTCAGTTATTATGTGTCTGTGTAGCAGTTATGCTTCATTTTCACTCCAGCATATGAGAACTTACCAATCTGTACTTTGTCAGGACCAATATCAAAAACTTCAACAATACGGGCAATGAAGTTCCTGATGGTTTTAAAATTTGGCCGCCCAATACTCCATGAGCCATCCACCAGCAGCACAATATCAGCTTCTGCTCTGGTTCTACATTCTAAACCTGCCATGTCAACCAGAAAAATATAGCCTTAGCATGATAGTTTTCTTTCCCCATCCTTTTAGATGACATATGTCATGAGTTAGCTTCCAAAATAGCTCTAGTTTTATTCACTGGCACTCTGTCAAGTATGACCTATTTGTGAACGTTATTCACACTAGTCACTGGTTCCATGGCAAAAACTGTCTAAATTTCTTCATGTATGTTTCCTTTTATAAATAAGCCTTCGCAAATGTCAAGGCCAGTGTTCTCTATTGTCATGTCATTATCTGTTTTGGCCTTTAAAGATGGTTGATAACCTGATTTCAGAAGTTTTGTACAAGACTACTAAACTAATCACTGACATGGCAGTGAGCATTACCAGATACAAATATACAAATTTATAGTATTTTAGTCTGTCATGCATAGCAAAACTACTACTACTTAATTTTCAACTATGTAATAGTGGAATTAATAGCATATATTACAACCACTTTCAAATAAATAGTATTTCTCAATTTTGGGATAAAAAGACATAGTAATACAGATGGTATAAAAGTTTACATGTACAGGAAAGAAAGAGCTCAATTCAAAGAAGACACACAAACATAAACACAGGTCAAGAGATACAGAGGGAACAAAAACAAACATTCATATGAAGCTGCAATATTCTAGAAAGGTAGGAAGTTATTTCACATATCTTCAGTTTACAAATTACAGAATAAAATATGCATAATATTGTTTTCATCACAAGAAAAATCACAAAATATTTATACAAAAACAGAAAGACACAATAATTTTATCCACAGCCATTTGCAAAAAAAAAAATCTTTCTCTTTTCCTGTAGATTGTGTTACCAGCTGCAAATTTTCTGGCTTCCTGCCATCAGAGCTTCTCGTCTTTATATGGAAGAAATCCCATTGAGAAAAATCAGCCACACTCATCACAGTTGAAAGATATTGTGATTTCATATATGTTCCACAGAATTGATCCAACACTGTAGACTCATGAATATAACTATTCCATGTACCTGGGGGTTAAAAGCATGATCCTCTTCTGCATAGAAAATATAGATCTAGTCTTAATCAGGACAATAAAATCAGTTGGGAGTAGGGTTTAAGTAAAACCATGTTAGCTCAAAACATTGCATGCATAACTTTAATATGGAAGTTAAAGTTAGCTTCATGTACAATACAAGTGTTAAACTATTTTGACTTTTAGATTTCTTCCAACTACTACAGTTCCCCACATGGAAAATTCTAGCAATGGTACCAGATCTAGGGTGATTTTTCTCCCCCTATTAATATATAATTTACTACTACATTCACAGTCCGAGATATAAATTTATTTTTCACATTAACCATGACTCAAACACATGCATTAGTAAAACTAATTAGCTTAAAGAATATAACACTGAAGACAGAAATGAGAGCTGCTATAATGAAAAATAATAAACCAGTGTTAGAACAATTTTTTTTCTGCTAGACTTATTAAAGCTTTAGTGTAACCGATGGACTGTTTTGTAGTTTTTCTCAGTTTTACCCTCTAGTATTAGACTGAGTGGGACAGCAATTAATTAAGAATTTTCTAAAATTGCTGTCAATAAAGTTATACAAGATAAATATTTTTTACATAGCCCAGTGTGGAAACAAGGCTAAAAGAGGTTAAGCAAAAAGAATATTGTCAGCTGTCAGAAATCTTTTTTTCTTTATTTCACTCTGAAAGTACTTTGCAGTTAGGTTCTTTCTTGTCACCAAATTCTCTCTGATGGTTATGCAAGCTTTGAAATGGCAGAGGAGAAAAGTCTTTACTTATTCTTCTATACTTGGCTATTAAGAAGCAAAGACCTGCTTTTTTATGTTTTCCATAAAGGAGGACTGACCCCTGAAACTTTCCTCATCCAGTAGTATTAGCACGCAGAGGCCCACTAACCACACCAAAGGGAGCTTCTATCACAACATTCACAGAAACTTTAGCTACATTTAGCTACATAGGGAATAACTCCCAAACAGATACTGGAGACACTCTGCAATTGCCTTTCTGAACTAAGTCTCCTCCTTATATAGTGAAAAACAAAAGACTAAAGAATGGATATGTTGAATATAAACTTATATAATACACAATAACACTGTGACATTCCCAACTACCAGATCTTTGTTCATTATATCATCTTAGTCTTGAAAGGAAAAGACACCATATAAGGACAAGCAAAGGGCTAACAATCTGCTTAAAATTCCTTGTTCTGCTTCTGTGAACACCCTTGTATAAGAGCCATGATCTCTACAATCACATTTGACCCTATGTGATTTGACACAGATGTGGATGGCTTGAAAATGCAATGCAGATGGCTTTGAATAATCAGCAAAACATGGGCTGCCTGCGTTATCATCTTTATAAAATTATCTAAAGGGTGCGTAGGACTAGAATTGTGAACTGCAGTATGCTTAGTGGTCTTTTCAGACCAGGGCTTATGTCATCAGGGTAGGGAATATACTGAATCCTGTAAACAAATATGTATGTGCATTAGAAAAACAATAAGGAAACATAGTAAACTTTTGGTCTTTTTTAATCCAAAATTCAAGACTGCCTTTTCTTCAAATCAGTCATGTTTACCTCTAGATAAAAATGGCTCCGAAGTAGTATCCGAAAGAGTGGTCATCTCTTGTCCAATCAGGGGGTTGCTCTCTCCTCCTTCAAACATCCCAAAAACATTTACCTTATATGTAGTTCCTGCCCTGCAATAGTTAAATAAGTATACTGTAGGTAAAGTCATTTGGCTAGTTAAATGCTAAACACTTCACTTAATAAATTCTCACAGAAAAAAATCCCTCATGGAAAAGAAGGTGCTAAAACATGAAGCCCAAACACTAGCTCTTCCACAAGAAAGTGAAGTTTCAAAATTTAAAAGCTGATTCTACACTCTGTACTTAAATTTATAGCCTTCCTCATTCAAGTTATTTAATTCTGGGAAGAATACAGAGAAATTGTCCAGGCAGACAGAGATCAGGTTAGGAAAGCTGAAGCCCTGATAGAAATAAATCTGGCCAGGGACATCAAGGAAAACAAGAAAAGTTTCTATGGTACATCAGTAATAAAAGGAAGACTGGGGAAAACACGGGCCCTCTCCAGAACAAAACAGGAGACATGTTTATGCAGAATAGGGAGAATGCTGAGGTACTGAACTACTTTTTTGACTCAGTCTTCACTGAAAAGTGCCCCAGCCACACCACCCAGGTCACACAAGGCAAAGTCAGAGATGAGGAGAAGGAATAACCACCCACTGCAGGAGAAGATCAGGTCTGAGACCAGCTAAGTAATCCAAAGGTGCACAAGTCTATGGGATCTGATGAGGTGCATCCACGGGTACTGAGGGAACTGGTAGATGAAGTTGCTAAGCCACAAGCCATCATATTTGAGAAGTCATGGCAATTCAGTGAACTTCCCACTGACTGGAAAAGGGGGAACATAATCCCCATTCTTAAAAAGGGAAATAAGGAAGATGTGGGGAACTACAGATTATGGAGGTCAGTCTCACCTCAGTGCTTGGTAAGATCAAGGAGCAGATCCTCCGGGAATCTATGCTAAGGCACGTGGAAAATAAAGAGGTGACTGGTGAAAGCCAAGACAGCTTCATAAGGGCAAATCATGCCTAACAAATTTGGTAGCCTTCCATGACAGGCTTACAGCTTTGGTAGATAAGGGAAGAGCAACTGCCTGGATTTGTACAAAGCATTCAACACTGTTCTGCATGACAACCTTGCCTCTAGAGAGACATGGATTTACCTACTAGACCACTCTGTGGATAAGGAATTGGCTGGGTGGTCACACTCACAGAGTTGTGATCAAGGACTCCACATCCAAGCAGAGATCAGTGATGAGTGGCATTCCTAAGGAGTCACTATTGGGAACGGTGCTGTTTAATATCTTTGCTGGCAGCAGGGATGGCGGAATCAAGTGCATCCCCAGCAAGTGCATTGTGTGGTGTGGCCAACAAGCTGGAGGGAAGGGATGCCATCCAGAAAGACCTTTAAAAGGTTTGAGAGCTGGGACTGTGTGAACCGCATGAAGTTCAACAAGGCCAAGTGCAAGGTCCTGCACCTGGGAAATCCCAAGCACAAATAGGGGCTGGGTGATCCATGAATTGAGAGCAGCCCTGAGGAAAGAGACTTGAAGATACTGGTGGATGAAAAACTGAGGATGACCCAGAAATGTCCTCCTGAAGCCCCAAAAGCCAAACGTATCCTGGGCTGCATCACAAGAAGCATGATCAGCAGGTCAAGAGAGGTGGTTTTCATCCTCTATTTTGCTTATGTGAGATCCCACCTGGAGTACTGTGTCCAACTCTGGAGCCACCAGCATAAGGGCTTGGACCTGTTGTAATGAGTCCAGAGGAGGGCCAAAAAAATATCAGAGGAGTGGAGCATCTATCCCGTGAAGACAGGCTGAGAGTTGAGGTTGTTCAGCCTGGAGAAGAGAAGGGTCCAGAGAGACCTTATGATAGCCTTCCCGTACCTAAAAGAAATCTGGAAAGGGACATTTAAGCAGGGCAGATACTGACAGGACAACAGGTAATGGCTTTAAACTGAAAGAGAGTAGATTTAGATTAGATATTAGGAAGATGTTCTTTACTGCGAGTGGTGAGGCACTGGAACAGATTGCCCAGAGAAGCTGTGGGTGTCCCATCCCTGGAGAAGGCATCCCTGCCCACAGCAACAAAGTTGGAAGTAGATGATCTTTCAGGTCCCTTTCAACTCAAATCATTCTGTGACTGTATAATTCTTTGACTTTTAATTATCCTATTTTTAATATATTTAGTATATTTGCATAACAGATTTTGACATGCTCTGAAGCCTTCTTTACAGATTCAAGCCTCTGAGAAAATGAATCAAGAACCAAACTCAGCTTTTTTCAAGAAACCTGAGGCAAGGAACTTTTGAGAGGAAACTTTAGAAATCCCAAGTATCCTCCAGTGTCCTGTTATCTTTTTTATATATGAAATGCAGAACACAGCTCCTGCCCATATCTTTGCCTCCTTCAGTTCCTGTGAGAATGATGGAAGTGGATAATCTCACAAAGAAACCTGCCAGAGACTGCATAACAAGATCTTCATAGCTTATTGTCAAAATTACTTTCTTACTTACAGTAGATTTTGCCAGGCATTTCAATACCAGATCCTGATTAAACAAAACCCTAAGCTAAAGTAATTTAAAAAAATAAAAAACAACCAAAACCAAACATGAGTTATTATCCATACCTAAGCTCCTCCAACACCACTGTGCTGTCGTATGGCCCCACTATTAATTCTCCAAGACTCCCATCATCTTCAGTAGGGTGGAAAGTTACTTTGTACCCCTTCACTCGCCCTGGTGCTGGCTCCCACGTTACTCGGAAACTTGACATAGTTGAATCAGAAGTTCTCAGATTTCGAGGTGGCTTAAAGGGAGAGGCTGTAAGGATGGGGAAAAAAAATGGTTTAGATCAGGTCTGCACATGGGAAAAAAATCAACAAGCATGCTTTTATGTAAAAATACATATGCAAATCCAGTATTAGTGATAATCCTAAACTCTTCGTGCCTTTGACATAAATAGAAGTATTAAAAGATGAATGGTGATTTTCCTGTCACTTAATTTTAGCTATCTAACCAAGAGGTACGTTAAATTTATTATCGAGGATCCCTCTACAGTCAACACACTGAGGGATAAATAGCCTGGCAGCTGAAGCAACTTCACCACCAGAGGTGTGGCAGTATGTCAAAAAATAATTCTTCAGAGGAGTGCCAGCCAACCAACTTGAGGAGCAACTTCCTCTGAAGGTCAGTACTCACAGACAGAGTGGTTAACAAGCCTGCTGCTAGCTTCTGCATCACTTTTGCTTTTGCGTAACTCTGAAGTGCAGCAAGGAAAATACTGCAGTAGTGTAATCTCAAAGTTGCAAAAAATGGGAGAGTGAACGGAAAGTCACCACTACAGCTTTGGAGTGAAAGATGGAGGGAAAAAAATAAAGAGTTTGCTTTATCCCTATGCCTGTGCAATTGTATAACTATAGCTTAAAGATCACCCCATATGGTGAATTCTGCTGAGAAATAGTACAGTCCCACTCACAAGGAAAAATATAGCCTCTCTGTCTCATCTCTCATGATACTTCCTGAATTATGACAACAGCTCCAAATAACAAGATCACTCAGGCCTCGCTTTCTTCTAAAGAGTGTTTACCACTACAACTATTTAGACTGAAAGCACAGAGGCATATCTGCATCAAGATGAAGAGTTTAAAAATCAAAAGCAGCTGTATGATTTTCAACACTGGAAAACTAGGTATTGGTCAAGATCTGATCAAGTTTTCATGACTCCTTTATATTGATCACATTTTAGGCTAAAAAGAAATCTTCAGTAACTGAGGTGCTGATATCTCCACTGATAAAAGACTTTTTTTTCTTACTTCCTGTCATTATTCAATATAACCTACATTCAGAGAACAGAGAATGGCATGAACTGCTTACAGAGTACCTCAGTGAATGGCACTAGTCCCACACAGGCAGAAACATCTTGAAAAAAATTCTCTTTTGGTAATGGCTTTCTATCTATTGCAGCAGGAAACTGACTCTAAATCTGGTTGATCTGGGTATCAAGAAAACATTTCCTTCAAAATATAAGATCAGCATCAGATACATACTAAAGGTAGAGTACAAAATTAGTTTTGCTTTTACCACAAAAATGCCCTCACTGGGACTATTAAGAGTTTCAGTTTCTGAGAGAGAAGACAGCTTGTCCAAAAGACCAGGAAGTCAGGCTTCCACAGATGAAACTTTAAAATCATCTACTGTCCCTCTTTATTACCTCAGGTCTTCCCCAGAAAATACGGTGACCAAAGAAGACAATCCTAAATAACATGATTCTGGGTAGCTCTTTAATTAATATCCACAAAAAAAAGACAAATTATGAAACAGCTGACAATGCTTCATTAAGTAGTCTGTTGATATACTGTCTTCCTCACAAAACACCTTTTTTTGACTTCTGATGACAGTGTTTCAAAACAAGTCTAGTATTTTCAAGCATTTTACACCATATTTACACCCTCAATATCAATAGCAAAAAGCTGTGCTCAGGCTATGCCATAGTGAAGCTTACAACAAATCAAACTCTTCTCAACCTCTAACATTTTCTTCAATTTGCCTGTCAATTCACGATCTTGGCAGACTCCACCACACTTTTCTATGTATCACTATTATTAATTTTAAGCACAAAACTTGCATTATGAAGTCCTGTACAACCTTGTGCTACATACCTGTTGTTCCTTCTGCTTTTCTTGATTTTCCTTGTCCAAAATCATAAATTGGAACAACACTTAAGTCATATGTAGTTCGTGGCTTAAGCCGCTTTAACACTATGCTTGTAGCAGGAGCATTTACTCTTCCAAACATCTGTCTTCCTCCACTGCGTGGTCGGTAATACACACGATAAGACAAGACCTTGCCAGGTGAAGGCTGCCATGAAACTCTCATTGTATTTTCTGTCTCGTTGTCTACTGTCACAGTCCTGGCATCTGGTGACACTTTTCAGAGTAAAAATACAGATAAATGTTTACTTTATCACATACCCCGATATATTCAGTTGCATGACTACAAAATTAATTCTACTGTATTAAAAAATAAAAGTGCCCTCTTTAAAATTACAGTATTCGATTGTGGGGAAGGCACAGCAGAATCTCACAGGTCATTGTTAATTATTTTTTAATTGTAATGGACTAAACAAACAGAAGCGTGCTTTTCACTATAGAGAGAAAAACAGGGAAGGATAAATCATATAATGACACAGCATAATTGGGAGGTTTTTTAGTCACACTTTTCAGCAATCCATTAAATAATGGATTCAGTAGTCTAAATTGAAAGTGATAAATTATAAAGTTATTTTTTCTTTAATACAATGTCCTATAGCGTTCAGATTTTCAAAGTTTTGAGTTTACTGGTCTGATAAGATACTGGTAAATAACTAAACTGCTGGGTGTTGGAGCCCATACAAACTATCCTGCTGGAAAATCACTCATCACTATTTGCAACATAGTATATGTGCTGAAATAAGCCCATAGACTAATCAATCATTTTCTCTACAAATTGCAGCATTCAGCTTCTAAGAAATATTTTCCAGACTGTATAAATGGTATAAATAATCCAAAGTGAACTGAAAGGTATGCAATGTTGGCTGTCAGCCGAAATAAGCCATCTAGGTTTTAGCAAACTGAACCTTCTTGGCATGCTGGAATAGGTCAATATTTCATCACATGGTAAGGCAGGCTCCGCAGCTCCTGGGAACTGACAATTTCTAATCATTGTTTGTACCAGAAAGATGCAATATTAGTCTCAGGTCTGGGGCTATTGATAGGCCTGACAGCAAGTTCCCTCAGTCAGCACATAGAGAGAAGCAACAAATTATATGACTAAGCTGCCTACTTAACCTGGAAAGGGCAGGATGGCTAATGCTGCTGTTCTTGAACAAAGAGGAAGGCGTGGGACAGCAGTCTGCTTTGACTCTGGGGAGTCAGCTCTTAGGAACAGCAGCAATCACTACTCTTGCAAAACCTTAAGAAAAACTAAAATGGGTCAAGGACAAAGGTTAAGGTAGTTCAGCAGCCTTTCTCCAACAGTAGTCAAAACAGATGCTTGGGAAAGAGTACAAGAACATATAAACACACATGATGCTTCCCCAGAGCTCTCCCTCAGGCTTTGTCTTCACATGGCCCCTTTAGACAAACAACAGAAACATCAAGGTTGATTCAGGGCATCCCTTCATTCATTCACTCAGACTGCTGTACTTGCCAGTTCTGGCTATACAGCAACAAGCCACCTCTGGTCTCTTGGTGTTTTTTCACTTTGCCTACACTGCAGGAGAGGCTTGAGCCTGCTTCCACAAATAATACATAATGTTTGGCAAATAAGAAAAAAAAGAAGAGCCCCAGAAAGGTAAATAACAAATATCAAAATCACCCAGTAAGCCTCAGTTTGAGGACTGTGAAGACTGGAAAGGGCAGTTAGCTTGAAAAGCATATTCATTGACTCTGTGGGAATTTACACCACCTTTCCTTCTTAATCTATCCATAACATTTCCTCCACCTTATTTCCAGCAGTCACACCAAGCCTATGGAAGGCTGACTTCAGAGTAATTTGCAGACAAAATCATATCTTAAATTGGAGGTAACTCTTGCTGAATCCAAACCTATATGACATAGAAGAGATTTTCGCGTTTTTTAATTGTCCTGCAAAATGTCAGAATTGACTGAGCTGAGGTGGCATTTTGGTTTGGGGCAACTTTTTGGGGGGAAAAGAAAAAGAAGAAAAATAAGGTCCATTGTCTTTTAAAAATGGTGATTTCATCAAGAACAGAATGTTACAAATGTTGTACTGCACTCACCATCAGTAAAAGCCTCTCCTTCAACTGGGTCTCCTTCTCCACTGCTGTAGGCTGCATATACTGAAATCCTGTATTTAGTCTCTGGCTCCAAGCCCTCTATCACAGCATCCACTGTATTTCCAGGGACTCTCTTCTCTGCCATTGTATCATCATAAAGTGATTTCCATACTATCCTATAATGGTTAACTGTTCCTGGAGCTGGTGTCCATGATAACCCAACTGTAGTGTCAGTTATGTCTGTGGTAACCAAATTACGTGGTGAACCACGTTCTGCAAGAAAGAAAACAGCAAAATGTCTCTTAAAAACAAATAGCAAAGTACAAATGTAAAAGTCAAATGATCATAAGAGCGAAAACAAACTTTTCCCATCAATATTAGTTTCAATGTCATACATTTGTAGTTCCAAGAGAAAATTCATGAATGTTTCAACAAGATGCTTCAAGCTAGCTTTAGACTATGAATGATCCTGTGCCTTACCATGCAAGATACTCAGCAGTCATGCTTTAGAATATGCAAAATAAAAATGGCAGTATTCAAAGACTTGGAACGAAGCCAGTGCTTAAATGTGATGCAGCTCACTTGGGTAATTTCTAACCCTCAAATAAATAACTTTATTTCATTCATTCATCTTCATCCTTATGTGTGTAACTTTTTTCTGGGGGTTAAATAAAGGAGACTTTTACCTAGGTCAAACAGTCCTTTCTCTGACAACTTTAACTTCTTGTTTAATGGTACTATTATCTTCCAGACTACCACTCACCAGATCTACCATCTATTTCATTTTATGTTTACAACTAATTTGCAGTGTCTTTACTTCATGCCAACCTTAGAGTAGAAAACACCCTCCATCTTTCCACTCAGAAGAACTGTATTTCTATCCTCCCAGAGGAGGTTGTTTCAACCAGCTTGGAACAAAGGAAGCAGCTCATTAGTCTGTGAAACTCAATTGTCAGCTGGATGCATGAATCTCACCTAACACACCAGAGTAATTCCACAGCTTAAAAATGAAGCTCATTGGTTTAAAGTGGTGCAGTGGAGTGCCTCTGTTTAACATTTAACGTACATTTATAACATATGTTCAATTTTCCCATTGCACTGGCTTGTTTTTGATGGCAGGAAAGGAGCACTCACCGGTGAGTTTAGTGCAATGGCCTCATTAAAAGCAAAATCTGCAAAAGGGATCTATGGAACCAGATCTACATACACACAGAACCTTTTTGATTCTTTGCTGTGTATTCTCTGTGGCATTTCAACTGTACAGGACATTCCTGAGAGACCGCTTAGCAAGAGGACTTAAACACTTGAGGTGGGCTCATGGCATCACAGTTAAGTTTTACCCTCAGTGATAAAAACATATCCCTATACTATACCACAGCAGCCACAGGATTAGAATCAAAATTCTTTGAACACAAGGAAATTCAGTACCTATCCGATTTCCACTCCTTAGTCTTGTTGCAAGAACAGAACTCACTACATTCAGAAGCCTGAAGCAGTTTCAGCCTAACAAGTTGCTCAAAGTCATATACTGTGTTTTCACTTTTCATATTCATCTTTTACTTCCACCACAAACCTGCAACATTTCCAAACCCAATCCCACTGGACCAAACAAGACTACTTATAGAAAGCTTAATTTTGAAAACATCTCAGTGCCAGCTTAACTTCATTAAAATTGAGCTAACAAATTCCACTTGGCTTAATGATGAATGGAAATTAATGTCAACCTCTCCGAATTTAGTAAAGATTCATCAGCTACACAGATTACAGAACCAAAGAGTACCACAACAATCATGAAGATGACTCTCAAATATAGCTAACGGTGCATGTTGTGGGGGTTTCACAGTCTTAGAGACATCCCATTATGTTTTTCTGGAGACAATCCTTTTCTATCCTAACTCTGCATCAGTCCTTACAATTTTACTCTTCAAACCAATTTTTAGCCTTACAATATAAATCACCACGATTTATGTCATCTTCTCTTCAAAAAAAAGCTTAAGATAGAGAGGTTTTAGTAAAGTTCACTTATCCTTTCATAACAGTGGTTGCACAGAGTGAAAAAAAGTTATAGTGAAAAGGCCTGATTCAGCTCATGCTTCATGAAGTCTCACCAAATTCAGTGACTGCATTAAATGAAAGCCAGGACAGAATCTAAACTCCAAAGAACAATTTTCCTGGAAGCCTGAAAAAAAGATTTGCCTTCAAAAGTAAATTACACCAATTTTTCTGTCTGCTCTTAAGCTCCTACTCCCAAATCTTGGCTTTTTCGTACAATAAAAAAAATATTAAGGCAATCCAAATGGAAAAAATATGGAAAACTTAACTTGATATAATGCACAGATGTCTCACAATAAAAACCTTTCTTTCCATATTTTAATGTAATATAAATATACAAGTCACTTTATTTTGGCTACTTTAAAACATGGCTCTGCCACAACATGATTTCAGTATTAAAGTATCTGCTACCACAGCACAATTTTTTGCAAGTCTACTCTTGGACACCAGAGCTAATGATATATGTTGGAAATACTGCAAAAATAGCTGCTTATTTAAACCCCTTATTGATTAAGTAATTACTGAGGTCATTAAATAATGGAGGAAAATAATTTGTTTGGAATGGACTATAATGAACTGCAGTTACTGTAATATGTTGGTTCTGAAAGAAATATTCTTTGGAACTAAATGTCTTTTTTATAAGGCAAGGTAAGAGAGGGAAAAGGATCTGGGATTCCTACCAAACCACTAGAACTAAACGGAAAATTTTTACTTCAAATAGTTGGAAACTGCTGACAAGACAACTTACCTACTAAGGGAAATTAGACTTTTTATATGTTACACTGCAACTGAGAACACTTCTTTAACATAACACTAACTTGATTTGCACCTCATGCATGAGGTGGAAGTTCACTCACAGATTTTTTTTTTTTTGCTTCACTGGATCTCCCAGAAGTGGTTGGTTTGGGGTTTTGTTTTTTTTTTTATTAAGGAAACAGCTGTGTTTAAGATATAGTCCAACTCTAAGTCTTAAATTCTTAGGATTCCATGAAATATTATCTAAGCTGCTACATTCAGAGTCAAGAAACATATTTATGCTCCACAATAACACAGGTATAACACGGTGACTGGCGAACATACAATTAGACCTTTGAAATACTTTTCCCTTGGATTAAAACAAAACACCTAGGTAACTTCCTTACATTCCATGTAGAAAAATCTACAACACTAACACCTGAACGGTAATTTTTTTCCTTGGTCTGTGTGTTCAGAAATGCTTGTTTTACACCTGCTTCTTGCCTGCTTGTTTAAACAGGACAGATAAGGAGCATGGAAAGACAATAAACACTGTAAGAAAGAAAAGGGCTGGCAGGCAAGCGGTTGTCAAAACACCCCTGCTTTTTCTTGACTTCAAGTGGAAGCCAATGTATGTTCATCACTTCATACAGCCCCCGAGACATCAGCAAGCAAGGAAGGACTTCCTTTTTAAAAATTATTCCCCAACAGGCATGAAGTCCTATGATGCTCTGGAGCACCAAACCAGCTGGTGTAAGCACAGCTGTAAGGCATACTGAGTATGTATACAGTAAAACCAAGTGTTTGCATGCACAGGTCAAAACCCTGCCTGGGAGAGCAAGCCAGTCACCAGCTTCAGGCCATCAGATTCACTTTGGCAGTTTTTAGCTCAGAGCACTTTTCACTGCCCACAGTCCCCTGCACACCTCTACCATCGCTCAGTGCAGACACACTCTCAAAAATTCACTTGGTAACTTTCAGTCAGGTGCTTTTACATCCTGTTCTGGACTTCTGTAATGTCCAGTCTCCATATTAAGTTTTTCCACTGTAGTGTGCCAGAGACACAATATGATATTAAAGTAGTTTCCCTCTGTCCACTTGGCTTACCTCCCATAGCTCTCCAGCAAACACTGTTCTTATTGAACACAAAACTGAATCAGCTAAAATTAAAATGTTGACATTCATAAAAATTAAATGGTCTTATTCAAATGACCTTTCCTCTCAGAAACGTCCACAAAACTCCAGCTGATATCAGTGGGATTTTTGCATGCAGTTTGGGTCCAAAGTTTAAACAGCTTTCTATATGTGGTTTTTAAAACCAAGTTTCAAAATCAATCTGCAGTGGTAAATTTTATGCAGAACCATGTTTCATTTAAGTTAAACATAGCATTTATCTAAGCCAGCATCCTAAAAGGTCATAATCAACTGAATAAATGAGCCTGCCTTTGCAGAGGCGTATGTTATGGCCTGAGTCCTGCCTTGTTTAAAATAGGCATAAGTCAGGAGTATCCCATTGGATCAACAGGTTAAATTGCCACAGCCAAGGATCCAAGTGCACCCATCAGACGAGATGATAGCAGAATCACTTTCAGGTAGTCACTTGGGTTGGCTGATATCCTTCCCTCAAAGACATAAAGTAGTTGGAATGTCAGACCTCAGGCATGTAGAGAGGGGATGTGGTCATACTACAGGGGATAGTCAAGGACTTACTACACAGAGGGATGCTCACATGGCCCCATTAGAGCAGGTTTCTTGATCTTCTGCAGAAAGGTACGAAGATGCCAACCAGGAGAGCTCTGACCCAAAACAGGGACTTTGGTCAGAACACTCCTGAGTCCCTGATCTAGGATAACAACAAGTGTTCATATTCAGTCCTTTTAATATTTTATCTGTCTTTTCCAAAAGTTAATCAGTTAACACTGCTCTCAGCTGTGTGGAAATATCTTATTATTATTCACTTAACCTTCCCCTGTGTTATTTTTTCCTGTTACATATTTCATTTCCTAGATATAACTAAGATAATTTTCCACAGATTATCAAAATGTCATACTCAAATATCTTGGAATGTCTAATTTTAAAAATGCATGAAACAGCATTAAATTGCTGAGGACACTGAGTTCTTGTTTCTGTCAGGACAGAAGCAGCACTACGCAGTCTGAACATTACGTAAAGTCCCTGTGATATGCTAAAAACCTCATTGTAAGAAAATGTCACTTGAATTTGCACTATTCTGCCTGTAGGAGGTCATTAATTTCTAAAGCATTCTTATGTTACCGTAGAAACAGCAAAAAGAAATAATTTATTTAGCAAAGAACTACCATCCATTTTCTGACCAAGAAAAAGAGAAATCCCCAAATCTAAGCTACAAGAAATGTATACAAGAGAAAATAACTTAAAAATTAAAAGTGATTCAGTCATGACAACCTTTTTTCATACATTGCTTTAGTACAGACCAATGGTCACACCACACATAGCTACTCATCAAA